ATATATATATATATATATATATATATATATATATATATATATATATATATATATATATATATATATATATATATACTCAGTATACAGTTGTTATGTATACGGTATGCAGCTTCCTAAACATACTGAGTATACTATTGACAAACTAAAACATGTAGTTCTCTAACATATATTCATAATGTTTTTGACAAATACGTGCATAAAAATGAAACCGAAATATGATGGAATTCGGTTAGAGAGACCAAAGTCAACAGCATGCCCAGTTTCAGAATATAAGGTTAGACTTTGGCAGAATACTGTAAATACCTGCATGTAATGGTTGCACTTTTGCCTCGGGGCAGTTCGAAACTGAAATCACAATGTGAAGGATTTGTGATATTCCGTTTTTCTCTCCCACAAAACCTTATCATTGTGAAGATAGACATGTATATTTTTATCCTTTGTTGTGATTTTCAAATGATTATTAGTAATGAAATATGAATAAGATAACGAACAGTATTCAATCTCGAAAGTCCAATGAAACGATACAAATTTGGAGCAGAGCAAACACGGACCTCAAAATTTTGAGGTGGGATCAGGTGCCATGGAGGAGTGAGCATCCCCTGCCGACCGGTCACACCCGCCGTATGCTCCTTGTCATGATCGGGAGAAAAATTCCCGTAAAAATCCGTAGACAGTTCAGTGTATAAGTAATGGCCTAACAATTAGTATTAAAAAAAATCAGTCAGGATTTGAGTTAATGATAGGTTGTATGTGCTGACAAGGTCATGGTATCGACCGTAAAACTTGCAAAATAATAATGAATTCAAACGCGACTGTTGATATCTTTGTTTCGTCAACTTGTTTGTCAATAGCTTGCCTCGTTGTAGAAATTGTTCATACGTAAAGCTCTTGCGTATAGAATCAACTGAGAGGCATAAACCCCATATGCAGGTGATAAGGGTATATTGCCACATAAGTAAGGGAAGTTGACGATTGAAAAGTTGAAGTCATCATGTTTATCATAAAGCTTTGTTGTTAGGTTACCATTAACGTCTTTTTCTAGTAAAATATCTAAATATGAAATCTATGGTATCCTCTATTTCAATCTCACTGGGATATATCGAATCGACATATGAATGAAAGTAACTATTGTCAATTGATAATACGTCGTCGATTTAACGGAATATCGAGTTGACGGTCACAGCAAGTGTTTTCTTCTATTCAAGTTTTTGAATAAATTCTGCTCCATATGAATATAAAAATAGGTCTGCTTATAAGGGGGCGCAATTGGTACCCATGAGAATTCCAACAGATTGTTGGAAGACCTGATCTCCAAAAACTACATAGATATTGTCAATCAGAAACTCAAGCATCTTTCTAATATCAACTTCAGAGTACTTTTGTGTACAATCAGAATGCTTTTTAACAAATAATTTTGCAAATGACCAATGACAATGTTAGTATATTTACGAGTTCCATTTTTATTGAAAACGCATGTGTCTATGATGTCAAAATGCCTGGACTTCAGTTTATCGTGGGGAATGGTTGTATAAAGTGTTGAAAATCATACGTTTTGATGTTACTGATTGTAGTAAAATTTTGTGATTTCAAATTTTCTAAAAGTTCTTTGGAATTTTTAAGTATCCACATCTGATTTACACCACTTCTCGAATATACTGTTGTACAGTACTCCTGAAGTTTCTCCTTCACTGCTGTAAATATTTTAGTGAGGAGAAATGAAGAAGCTTGGTAGAACATTTACTAGAACCCGCTATGTATTTTTGTTTGTAAGGATTTTTATGAATTCAGTAAAGATATGGTAATTCGAATTCAGTTTGATTGTTGGGAATATTAAAAATATCTAAAACGGACATATGATTTTGAAGAATTCCCTCCTTAGAAAGGGAGCTATGGGTGTAAGTTGGATTTTCTAAAATAAAATGTTTCTTCATGTGTACATGTTTCTATGCCTCGTCATTCAGTGCAGTTATCAACCAAAAAAACTGCCTCTGGAAGTTTTTGATGAAGTTGAGTATACTTTATATTTTTCTATATGAATAAATCGGTAAAGTGTAAGAATTGCAACCTAACATTGACTAACTTTTGAATTCTTTTTCTAGGGTCAGAAAAGAATTCGAGTGTATTCTCAATGCCATGGCAAAGGGAGCCATTTTACTAAAGGGGGGGGGGGCAAACAAACATTAACCGTTTGGACGGGGGCACTACCAAGCACACATTCCTCCACAAGAAGAATAAAAGGTCATAAAGATGTTATTACTAGGGAACACATCCATAAAGTAGCTTTGTTTTCTATAGTGACCTATGTATCGGAAAAGTTATGGAGGGGGTACGGGACCATGACTTTAAAAATTATAACTAAATCGACAAAACTTATTTGAGTGCCAGTTGACATCTGTGAAAAGGAAGCGGGCACCTGTAATGTTTAAATAATATTTACAAAATCTCTGTGGTCAAATACTTTATAGCATTTTGCGTGAATTTATCTGCATCATGCCATATGAACAAAGAGCGATAACTCAGTTATCATATTAACAACAGTGAAGGAGAAACTTGGCAGTACTGTACTGTACAACTACAAATTCGAGAAGTTGGTGTTAAACAGAGATGGATACTTGAAAACTTCAAGAAACTTTAAGATAATCAAAAAAATTTACGAAAATCAATAGTATCAAAACGTACGACTTTTCAACACTTTATAACAACCATCCCCCACAATAAATTAAGGACCGGGCTTTTTGACATCAGAGACAATTGCTTTTTCAATAAAAATGGAATTCGTAAATTAACGTATCTTGTCATTGGTCATCTGCAAACTTATACTCCGAAGTTGATATTAAAAAGATGCTTGAGTTTCTGACTGACAATATCTATGCTTAGTATTTAGAGACCAGGTCTTCCAACAATCTATTAAAATTCCCATGGGTTCTAGTTGTGCCCGTCCAATATTAGCAAACCTGTTTTTGTATTCACGTGAAGCAGAATTTAAAAAAACTTCTACATAAAAAGAAGAAATCTCTTGTTGTGGCCTTCAATTCGACATCTAGATACATCGAGGACGTTTTATCCTATAAATATTCATTTTCATTGGTACATGTATATTTTGATATATCCCTTTGAATTCGAAATAAAAGGCACCAGATTCTGACCCCAACTTCCCTTATGTGGCAATCAAAACACCATTATCACTTCATATGGATATCATGTCTCCCAGTTGGGCATGTTCAACGTATGAACAATTTCTAAAACGAAGCAAGTTACTGACAAATAAATTGATGCTACAAGAATATCAGCAGTCTCGTTTAAAGTCAACATTTCGCAAATTCTATGGACGATACAATGAACTTCTTAGCAAATACAAACCCGATCGTGACCAGGAGTTTACGGCGGGTATGACCTGTCGACAGGGGATGCTTACTCCCCCGTGGCACTTGATCCTACCTCTGATGTTTTTTTAGAGGTCCTTGTTTACTCTGCTGATAATTTGTATAGCTTTAATGGACTTTTGAGCTTGAGAACTGTTCGTTATCTTCATGTTCCAGTTGAATTTGCTTCTATATTTGCAATACGTAATAATGTGATTGGGGAAGGAATTTTTTCAACATTCAATACTCTTAAAAGTATGTTTACGTGTATGTTGTCGAATAGAAGCTTTTCTTTCAATATTTTTGGTTTATTATTACGATAATATAGCAGAAAGTTTTGTGCCTTGGTAGTATTCCATTTTAATTGGAAGAATATCATTTTTTTTAATGATGTGCAATTTTTTTCTCCATGTGGGAAATTAAACTGTGTGTCCAGCTATACGTGTGGATGCAAACCAGTATTTTAGTTTCAAGCCTCTCTCGTTTGTCTTTGTGGTGCGATAACATGCAGGTCTCACACTCCGTCGACTTTTCTAACTAATTCTCACTTCATAGGTCTTACCAGTAGGCAGTTTTGATCACAGACTCTATCCCACTTCTGGGAAGCAGCATCTGATAATGGCCGTGTTTTATATTTTTGTTTTATACAATCAAACCGTTTTACGAGATATTTTCAAGACTTACATGTAGTTGATTAGAATTAGACTATCTAATCCATAGCTTAATATTCTTAAAGAGAGATTTATTCGATATAGATGCTCTCAGACGGGTAAGAGTATACATCCCAGTACAATGAGCGCCTAGCTCTTGTTCCCCCACTTTGGCACATGCTTCCAATGGTTTACTTTGCAGAGACCTTTGATAGAACTTTGTATACATCTAACTTGACAACTTTTCTAACTTCGCCATTTTGCCTTGCTATGTGTGTTTAAGCAGTTGACAACATATATATATATATATATATATATATATATATGGTGGCAAACCATAAGGAAGGAACCCCCCCCCCCCCCCAATAATTTTGCCGATATTAGAATACTATAGAAAACATAGCTGCTATACGCTTGTGCCCCCTCAATAATAACTGTTTTTTTTTTTTTTTTTTTTTTTTTTTGCTTGTCAAGGAATTTTTGAATTTTTGGTAGTGCGCCAAACTGAAAATGTTTGGTAGCCCCCCCCCCCTCCCCCAATTGAAAATGTTTGGTTGTGCCCCCCCCCCCCAAAAAAAAAAAAAAAAAAACCTGAACTGCTTCCTACGGGCATGAATTTACAGACTCTTGCACCATCTTGCGTCAATTCATTTATGCATCGGTGGTCGTTCGTTTTGCAACGGAGTCTGTTGATTTTGCAATTGAGCCTGTTGAAAATAAATTGTTTAGGCCCGAAGCAATAGTTTTAAAATTGGGGGGGGGGGGGGGGTCCCAAAAAATCTGACAAGCGAAAAAAAATTGAATCATCCAAAATTTTGTGGGGAGGTAATATGAATGATCATATCTCCCTCTTTTCGTTGTATGAATTAAAATCATTTCGAAAACCAACATTCCCACCCCAGTAAAAAATTAATGGACTGACGTAAACGTCCCATATAACGTCGGGATCGACATTCTACCGCATATCGTCCTTGACCCTTTATACATGCAATATGCAATGATTTCGTGAAAGAAGAAAGTTTTTATAAGAGATCCAACCTGTAACTAACCATATGGTTCTTAAATTTCTTTTAAGGTAACTTGTTAATTAATGAGATTCATTAAATCATCAATCATGGGCTAGTGTATAGAAATTCATCGGTTTCTACAACAGGATTTCAGTTCAGCCTGTTTTTACGTAAACTTAAAGATTATTTTAATAATTTTTTTTATGATGCATTGTTGATCTTTTTCAGGCTTCTGCACCACGAAAATGTAATTCAAAAGGTAAATTTTCTTGATTTTTTTCCATCTTATTTTGAACAGGAATTTTCTTTTGTAAAGTTGGGACTTAGGGGTTATAATAGTCTAAATGGGATATACAGTGAAAAAAAATGAAGGAAAAAAATAGCTTTAAATATTGTAAGTCGGCATGAAAAAACATAAAAGGAACAATTTTAGTAAACAGTATTCCTACTGTGTAGGATATTGATCCTCAAGGAGATCAAAGATTTTAAATGTTAATCAGGTCCAGCACAATCTCTTGATCAAGCTATATAGCTTGATTTAGCTATATAGCTTTATTAAGCTATTCAGAATAGCTTGATTTAGCTATTTTACCATAATTTTTTCTTAAAAGTGTTATTTTCTCAGCATGTACAAAAAGTCGCACCTTGGTGCAGTGAAAATATTCTAACTTGAACTCTTCTGAAAATAATGCATGTTAGAATCACTCATCAAATTGCGTCTCCTAAAGAGACTTTGAACTTAAAGTTCTAAAAGTTTTGGGGCTATATAAAGCAATTGAAACAGTTACTTCTTCAATGAAATTATAAAGGAGGCCAATTATGGTCAACAAGATAATTTACTGGTAATAATTCAGTACAATAAGAAGCAATCATACTTATCCATGCCTCAACGCACACAAGGTAGTGTACAGTTACTCAAACAATGGAAATTCATCTTTTGCTCAAAAGTATTCAAAAGCTGCAATGTTAGAACTATCTTTGATTTTGGTTGTTGTTCTCACAGCCCATAGCACATATATGCCATGTATGCATAGTCAAATATTTGCGACTTTTTGTTTATTTCGTACAAAAGAAGTTTTTGTGAAAAACTGCATAGAAATAGCTTTATCAATCTATTTTGAATAGCTTATTAAAGATATATAGCTAAATCAAGCTATAAAGCTAAATCAAGAGATTTTGCTGGACCTGTTAATTGTCAGATTATATTTCATGACGAAGTAATCGTGAGTGATGCTCCCCTAATTTGCAAAATTAGTCCCAACCTGTTTACCATCTTTGTGGCTAAAAGATTACAATCATTCAGATTGCAGAGAGCCCACCCATCAGACAAGCAGCTCGATATGTAGTGTCAATTTACCACAGATTCCATTCTGGAGGTACTGTTTAAATTTTCAGGGTAAAGGTGGGGGAGTATACTTGCTGAATAAATGTATGTTTTTCAACTTTGAGTCATGTTTAACCTGTTTATTTACTCAACTTTATTTATGACACTTTTATTTATTATTAAAATACATGTAATCATTGCCAATATATTTTAGAATTGAGTGAATTAATGAAAAAGTTTGAGAAGATGGCTGAAACTTCTTCTAAAGACACACCTAAGTCAACTAATACTCTACCAAAACAAATTGGATTCACAGAGACATTTAAAAAGGAACTTAAAGAAGGATTTAAAGAACTGGAACAAAAATCTAAAAAACAATGACAAGGAAAGGACTAGCAAAGTGTTATTTATTGTTTGTTATTTCATATGCAGGGATGAATTCTTGCATTTATACACACGTTTTTTAATAAAATGAAAAATAACAAAGTTGTGTAATGCTAATCTCAGCGAGATCCGTAGAGACTAATAATTTTGGTCTGGCGTCTCTACGGATCTCAGACCAGTATCACATAATCTCATTCGGGGTTTTGTGCCTGGACTTCGACCGCTTGCTTCGATTAATACAGGCTGAAATGAATTAGCTGTCCGCTTCAACTTTTTGCTTTGGGCATCCTTTTAATTCCTTATCACCATAAAACTTTGGTTTCTTACCTCTGAAAAGTTTAAATCCATCAAAATACAAAGTTGTTTATTTTTTAGAGCAATAAGCTATTCGTTTAAACCTCCGATGCTGAAGAGTTTCAGCAATAGTCTGCTTCAAATACTTCGTTCTACTACTATTTCCTATAGTAACGAACCTTAATACGAACAACAACGACGACAGACAACGGACAAATTTCAATCAGAAACGCTCACCTCAGCCTTCGGCTCAGGTGAGCTAAAAAGCTGAGCCTTCTTAGATGTTGGTCTTGACTCGGAGTCAAGGTCATTGAGACACAATGTTCATAAGTTTAGAATTTCTATACTTGTTTCTTTATCTTGGATTTTATTTTAATTTATAATCTACCTATACCCTGGACTTTTACTACAATTTCACTATATATATATATATAAATATATATCAGGGCTCGAAATAATTGATTGCCCGCTGGTCTGGGGCCAGTGAATTTAATCTTGGCTAGTATATTGTAGATGGCATATGCCCTTTGGGTCAGCATAACAAAATTCATTCACAGTCGGGCTAGTTAACTTGACAGGGTTGTGTGTGTCCAAGTTCTTTCTTTCTTGTTTTGTTAAGTTGTACTATTAAGTTTCACAATATAAAGAAATTATTACACATATACTATATTATGGTTTTCAGCAATCCTTTTAAAAATCTACTGACCTTTTGGAACAGTGAAAGTATTGAGTTGACCAAAAAATATATTAGCTGAAAGTCCAAGTGACCAGTGAAAAAAAAATATTTCTAGCCCCATATATATATATATATATATATATATAAATGAAAAGAAATATCACAGTGTCCGGTAATTAATATGAAAATAAAAAATAACAATTAAGGCAACAATGTTAGTAAAATGTAAGCGCTTTCATTACTTCTTCAGACGTATTACATTCCAAAACAATTCAAACATGTGACGTCATAACGCTACCTGATGATAATGTCAACAACAATGCAAGTAAAATTACACAATTCATAAATAGCGTAATAAATAATAAAGTCTTGAAACAGTCTACATCAAACTATTTAAGGACGGTTTAAATATCTTGATGAATTTTTTTCTTTTTCCTGTCTTTCTAAAAGATTTTCTGTTTGAGTTTATAAAAGGGATAAACTGAGAATTGTCCCAGCCCAATTTTACTTAGACTCTATAGTAATTGTTTCCTCTATAAGCATTGTGACGTCATTGCATTGTTGTTGACGTTATCATCAGGTAGCGTTATAACGTCACGTTTGAATTGTTTTGGAATGCAAAACGTCTGAAGAAGTAATGAAAGCGCTTATGTTTTACTAACATTGTTGCCTTGTTATTTTTTATTTTCATATATATATATAGTTTACAGCTGCAACAGTTTATATCTGACATAAAGGGTGTCCATCACAAGGTCAGATGATCTTGAAAGTCATATGGTCAGAAGTACTATTCTTGAATTGGTAAAGCTGACTGCAATTGTATGAAGTGTGTACCTAAAACACACAGCTGTATCATTGATTAAACTAAAGAGCTAGAGCAGAGATGGAAAACATTTATATCTGTAAGAAAGACAATACATTGTAATTATTTATGTCTCTGCCCAAGCTCTTTATTATTATATCCATCGCATACTACTTTTAACTTTGTTTAATTGGCTTATTTATAAAAGCATTACCAAAGGCATCCCAAGTTTCCTTTGCAAATGCATTTGGCAGGTCAGATTTTTTTCCCCAGTTGTATAGATACACAATATAGGTACATGTATTCTAATGTAGTACAGAATATATTTACATTTAATCAGTGTGGGCCTAAGTATTAACGGGAAACGTTGTACGATTTGTATTAAGTCTAAAAGATCAAGATGATACTGGTCAGCAATAAGAAATGAAGCATAAATAGGAAAAAAAATTGTATTAAATATTTAACATTACAACCTCATGTAAATAATATTAATGTTCACATATAAGCATATGGGTGATGAAAAATTTCAAAATTATCAGTTACTAAATATAGAATATATAACATGTATACTGTATAATGCATTCAACAGAAATACGTAAAAAAAAATTCACTCATTATATCTGATTTTACCTGAGAAAATTTCATTCAGAAACACTGTACAACTACTACAAATCATAATTATCCCCCAAAAAACAACAGAGTAGCCTTGTGAGGAAATTCTATGCATAAATATAGCAATTCAATGAAATTCAAAGTGGATTAATAGATATCTTGATATAGACTAAATGCTCTTGTGTACGAAGTTTATCGGGTAATTGAAAATCAGGGAAAAAAATTACGAAAACTGTCGGGGCAGTAGCATTTTCACAAATTTTTTACAGACAGATGGATAGACAACAGATACATTACCAATGCATAACCTCTTCTGGTTAACAAGAAGAGCAAAAAATACTGATGAATTCAAATTATATACACATCTGGAAAATTATTTACATCTTGAAAATTAACTAGCACCTTTGATAGTCCATTCATTTTTTTTTTTCAAAAGTCAATATCCCCATTTAGAACAGCTAGAGCCATTCCTGCTTCAGGATCCCATGGCTTAATCCCTTGACAAGCCAACTCAAACATATCATCTTCATCATACCCCCAGGGATTACTGATGTAGTCTGAATCATCTGAGTCACAAAAGTGCTTTCTAAACGCCAGCATCCTTCAAAAAATAATAATGTAATATTGATACCATACTCTGTATACATGTACACTGTTTACAGTGTTTCCTAATAATAAAATTTTTGATAAATTTGATCCTGAGTAATTACTTGGCGACCATTTTCTTTAGTCTCGGGGCAAGTTTCACTCACCTGAGAAAGCGATCCAGTCCTCCATGGTTTGAGTCACTGGAGGAGTCGCTGCCCCCTGTGTAGGAGGCCACCAGGTGGAGCAGCAGTGTCTCCATACACTCCTTGTCATCATCTAGGCCTATGTCACGGGCTGTAAATTACAGACAGGTGATAATGCAAACACTTCCAAAAAGAGGTATTTGTTAGTGCTCTCTATTAGTTCTAATATCAGTCATTTGTAAACATGTTACATGAAACAGAAAGTAAAAATAGTTGTGCTGTAAAGAAATATATTTAATCCCTGTAAATAAATTTAGAAAGAGATGAAAATAAAAGATATTGTTCAAAGGTACTTAACTTACGATATACAATGGAGACCTTTTAAGTTAATTGAACATTCATTTGAAGAAATAGGATCTAGATTCACCTGTTTAATTAATCTGAGGGATTTTTTTTTATAGTTCCAAGTTATTTCGTAAGTTTGAAATTTTAAAAAATAAATAATAATGTGCACAAGGGTCATAATGCTCACATAAGTCAGCAACTAAAAATCCTCGGTTTTCAATCATTTTAATTTACAGTACAGAGGCATGAAGTTAAAATTTTAGCTATTATTCTTGAAGGAATTTATACTAGTATGTTTCTGTGAAAAACTCTGAACCCTGTTGTACTCCTTTCTAACTTCCAGTGCCATTATTTGATCAAATTTGAATCTACATACATGTATATTTACATGGTAATGCTTGTGTTCTAAACCGACCAGGCGCATAACTGCCTATATGCAAATACGCAAGTGCGTACACATCATTTTTCAAAAAAAAAAAAAACAAAACAAAACAAAACAAACAAAAAAAAAACGACTAGGGGAGAAAGAGTGAGGTTCAAAGAAAAAATCTCATAACCATCCAACAAGTATTCGTGTTTCGAATTATTTTGTGTAAAACTGTTTCGATTTGAATTTATATTATTATGACTGTATAATAAAATTTGAAATCATTTATTAAATCATTGGAAAATCCCAATAACCTATTCATTAATTTGTAATTGTTCTTTAATACATTGATATTGTTTTGAAAAGATTTTGAGATCAAACACATTGCTGAATGCTATGATCTACTAGTATATAATTTAAAAAACGATATTTTTTGTTTAATAATTAACATTTAGTATCCCATTTTTGAACGTTGAAAAAAGAGTATATGATACCAATATATCGTCTAAATATTAAACCTAAACTACATGTACAATGTTTTTCCATGGAAATTTTAAATTTATGTTAAAATAATTAATATTACTATGTCTTTTATTTTCTTAACAAAAGCTAAATGGCGTAATTTTTATTTTGCAAGAAAATGAATGAAATATTTGGTAAAACTCAGGAGCTTCTGGGCCCTCACCAGCAGACACGTAGCTTAGGGGGGCCAGGGGGTGGCCTGCCCCCTCCCCCCCCCCCCACTTATTTCAGAACCTAACCTTTAAGTAAGAACCTAACCCCCCCCCCCAACCCTGCCGTTCTCAGCGTACACTTCACTTCCATTCTGGCTACGCGCCTGCCGACTAACTTTATTTCTGTGGTTCATGCACTGGAGTACATTTTTTTTCCAGAATTCTTTTTCTATGTACATGTATATTCCCATTTTATTTTCATATAAATTCCCATTTTAAAAATTTTGACACCCTATTGTGGCCCAATCTTTGCCTCAGAGGCCACAATTTATCTATAATCAAAATGGATGTTTTTCAATTATTTGTTTTATCCTTATTAGCCCAGTAGTTCCCACTGATTTGAAACAACATGCTTTCAATAAAGTATTACTTTTACTATCCCCGTGGTTCTTGAGAACATCTTTAAATGACCTTACCCTATTTCCTAATTACAGTACTGTAGATCACTATATTTTTGTGACACCTTATTTTCGTGTGATAGACAATTACTCTTTATTAGCGAGACAAAATTTTCACAAATTGTGGTTATTGTTCTATATAATCTTTAGGAATACTAAAATACGTGTGAATGAAATTTTCGCGAGCACATTATCTTGCATAATTACGCGAAAATAAAGTTCTTGCGAATAAAAAATGATTTACAGTATCTACCCCTGAAATGGGGCAAGACCTTTCATTTGAGCAAGCTTGAGTCTCTCACTCAAGGAAGGCCAAGTTTGGATGAAATTAGCCCAGTGGTTTGCAGAAGTTGAAAGAGTGAAAAGTTTACAGGTGACACACAAAAGACATATGGACAGGACACCAGTTAGAAGTCTGTAGTATTAAACAGATATTAAAATTAAGAGGACTCCAATATAGGGGTATTTACTTGCAAAAGCCAAGACCAGCTCATGTAGAAGTTCTTTGTGATCTTCCTCATCATTTTCTGACTTGACCTTATCCATGATGTGCTGAAGAAGGTGACGTGCCTTTCCGAATACTCGACCACAAACACCACAAAATGTCTCCTGATGGAAGCGAGGGTCTTGTTGAAGGAAATTTAGGTGCTCTTTGTTCATGCTGAGAAGCATGTCTCTGTAATGCTGCTCCAGTTCATCATATTCGTGTGTGAAGTCACTTCCACCGCTGACATCCAACACATTATCTTCATCCTCTTCATCACAACACGTATCATTTTCCTTGTCACTGGCAGTACTTTGGATATCTTTTGGAATCTTTGGCAAAACTTTCATGTGAATAAGTTTTCCACATTCTCCTAAGTTGACAAAAATCTAATGAAGTTAGTTTTGCCTACATGTACAGTGTACATGGATATTATGTCTCTACATTTATGTACAAGATTCTGGACTTAGTAATGTGATATGTGAATAATTTTTAGTGGATTAAGATTTTAAATTTAGTATTTAATGGTCACATTATTTTGCTCAACTTTCAGTGTCTCTATATACATGTATTTACATTTAGATTATATATTTTGCTAGCAGTCATAAACAAGCATCCTAAAGAATATGCAATGCTAGGAATCTTGTTATGTATGCCTTGAGTATCTTTTTTTTTAATTGCTTTTCTCATAGAGATACTTAGCAAACTTTCAATCAATTATTTTATCATTTAAATTTGAACCACAAACAAACATGTAACAGTACCTTAGACTTACCACATTTAATGAGGCCACTTTCATCGGTCTTTTTATTCTCCCCCTTGGTCTTTGGTTCATCAGAATTTCCTCCCGATTCAAAGGAAGTGACTGGGGTATTATCACAAAATTCTTCATTCTCCTCTTGTTTAAGACCAGGAATATCAATCTATGAGGAGAAAATTATACTGGTAGAGCTCAGACTGGAATTCAATCCAACTCCATTACAGTAAGAATTTCCTGGTAACAGGTTAAATAATGGATATTATCAGCTGAGAAGTGTAAAATTTATATAATATGAGCAAACTTGTTTTCTTTAATAAAGTGCCCCACCACAGCATGATACGCCTGCCCATCAAATATTGTTCAATTCTCATAAACAGTTTAGAGTGCAAGAAAATCATGTCAACCTTGATTCAAAGATTTCCATGATTTTTCCATTCCTTATAAAATTTGCTGTTTATACATCTCCTGTAGTGTAGGCATTAGTTATAACAAATATTACATCATAGATTTCTCAGCTGGTTGTGTCAGAGCTTGACAATGCCCATTTGCAACCTCCCCCCCCCCCCCCCCCCCCCCCTCTTTCGTATTTGTTTGATATTTTCAAAATCAATAACAATATCAAATTAGTCTTAACAATTTAATCTATACCAAATTAATTTTGAAAATAAAAGGCTGGCCATCAAATGACATATGCTATAAACTGACTAGAAGATCTTCTGTCTAGTTCCCAAAGGATGCAGATAAGAACTGCTTGATCAGAGATTCTCTAACAGAAATGAATGAGACAGCTAGCCTTCCTACATTGATTTCATTAATTAATTATAATCTTTAACTGGATGCATGTCCATTCATTACTCCCAAGGGATGAATGGATCTGCACTGTCTGCTTTGTAGTCTGTATTGCAGTAAAAATGCATATTTATGCCATTCTGTTGAAAACAGAGTTTTTTTTTAATTTACAAAGATTTATACTTGTGTAATCTTGATGCAACATTTTTAATAAGGTTACTGCATGACTCTTAGATTTGTAGGGACTATCTACCATAAAACATTTTTTTAAAAAATACTTGATGATATTTTTGAGATTTAATGTCAGACTGGTTTTAAGCTGCAGTGCATACGGACAAATGGACATGCTGATTCCAATATCCCCTCCCCCACCCCCCGGGTATAAATAGTTTTTAATTATATTATACAATATCAAATTAGTTTATTTTACAATATCAAATTAGTTTTAATTACTTTTCACCAAATTGATTTTAACTAGAAATATGTCCATAGGACATGAATGCCCCGCTGAGGGTATATTAGTAATAAAGCATTTTAACACAAATTGAGAAAAGTGGGGTCAAGGTCAAAGGAAAGGTCAAGGTGAAAAAATATTGATGCAGTTGAATAGCTTTCATCAGTATGTATCAGCATCTGAAGTTTGACACTAATTTAAGAAAAGTGAGGTCAAGGTCAAAGGAAAGGTCAAGGTCAAAAATGTTGATGCAGTTGAATAGCTCTCATCAGTATGTATCAGCATATGAAGTTTGATAAAATATTATGAATGGTTTCTTTAAAACTGAGCTAAACACTAATTTAAGAAAAGTGAGGTCAAGGTCAAAGGAAAGGTCAAGGTGAAAAAATATTGATGCAGTTAACTCTTATCAGTATGCATCAGCATATGAAGTTTGACACTAATTTAAGAAAAGTGAGGTCAGGTCAAAGGAAAGGTCAAGGTCAAAAAATGTTTCATCAGTATGTATCAGCATATGAAGTTCAACACTAACTTAAGAAAAGTGAGGTCAAGGTCAAAGGAAAGGTCAAGGTCAAAAATATTGATGCAGTTGAATAGCTCTCATCAGTATGTATCAGCATATGAAGTTTGATAACACTATCTTGAATGGTATCTTTAAAACTGAGCTAAAAACTTATTTAAGAAAAGTTAGGTCAAGATCAAAGGAAAGGTCAAGGTAAAAAATATTGATGCATTTTAATAGCTCTCATCAGTATATATCAGCATATGAAGTTTGTTTAAGTGAGGTCAAGGTCAAAAGAAAGGTCAAGGTCAAAAAATGTTGATGCAGTTGAATAACTTACATTAGTATATATCAACATATGAAGTGTGATTACACTTTCTTTAATTGTATCTTTAAAACTGAGCTAAACACTAATTTAAGAAAAGTGAGGTCAAGGTTAAAGGGAAGGTCAAGGTCAAAAAAATGTTGATGCAGTTGCATAGCTCTCATCAATATCTATCAGCATATGAAGTTTGATAAAAATATCTTGGACAGTTTCTTTGAAACTGAGCTTTGAACAGAGCTAAATGCAAAGTGTGACGGAAGGACAGACGGAAGGACGGAAGACGGACATGACAAACACTATATGCCCCGGCCATATTCATGGCGGGGCATAAAAATTGGGCTAGCCAACAAAATCTATTTAATCAAAGATGGCTGATTCCTTTACCCAATTTCCAAGAGATATAGATAACACCTGCTTGATCAGAGATGCTCTACCAGTTAGCTCCTAACACTACAACTCATTAATTTCTCTTTAATTTGACATGCAATTTTCTGTTATCAAAATTCTCCTTGACTAGTGCTTGATAATTACACCCATGGGAGAGGTGGAATTTCTCTTATAACATTACATTTGTTATAGATTGCTGTAAAGTATATAATGAAAAAAAAAAGTATTTTCTTGATTTAACACTTTTTAATAAGGATACTGCAAGACTCTTACATTTGGGTATTGTGTAATTCAATAGTATAGAGACATTTTTTTTTTAAATTTCACTTAAATTAAAAGCCACAGTGACCTTGAAATATGTTGCTACACACCTTCTACATAAGATGCATAAATTGGCCAAGTTTGATGATTCTAAGTCTAATAGTTTTCTAGTTCTGATCCGGACAGGATTTTTTCCATATTTGGCCATGGCATCTTAATTAAAGGTCAGAGCGACCTATTTTTAATGTGAGACACACCTTCTACCCAAGATGTATCAGCTGACAAAGTTTGATAATTCTAGGCCTAATAGTACAGTTAAACTTCGTTATCTCGAAGTTGACGGGACCGTTGATGAACTTCGAGATATCCGAGGGTTCGACATATCGAGGGTTATAATTCTAATGAACTTCAAATATACTTAGTGCAGTGAACATGAACTTAATAGTAGAAACATGTAAAATTCCTTTTTGTTTGAAATTTCGTTTACGATTTCTTTAATATACAATCATGTATTTAGCATTAAAATGATTTTTACATCCTCTTTTTAATTCACAAAATAAAAACTTTGTATAATATGCACAGAAGTATAATCCTTCTACCAACCCGGCAAGTCAACCGCTAGCATCGTTTCCCATGTATACATAACCGGATATCATCTACGCATTGTAAATTTAAAACCGGTCGCTGTCAGAATAACGCAAACGAAATATATATACATTTTTTTTTATTGGAAAAACATGTTCATACATGTATAATCAGTTAAAAGAAAATATTTTATTGTAATAAAATCAAATGCAAAAGAAGAAACACGCACTTTTGTCTAACTACAGAACAACGCTGAACTAGAACTGTCCGAAAGGGACAAATACCCCCCGCTGGGTTTTTCAGAGAAAGTACCAAATCACTAATGTTTTCTAGATGTGAGAGGTGTTCACAATTTCCATAAACATTTTCAGTGAAAATTTAATTACTCATTATATTTTTTTATACGTCCATCTTAAGACGGGACGTATTATGTTATAGCGTTCATGTCCGTCCGTCCATTAGCTTTTTCATGTCCGGCTCATAACTTTAATACTATTAGGCCTAGAATTATCAAACTTTGTCAGCTGATACATCTAGGGTAGAAGGTGTGTCGCACATTAAAATCAGGTCGCTCTGACCTTTAATAAAGACGCTACGGCCAAATATGGAAAAATCATAAGACTTAGAATCAAAAAACTATGTCTTTTAACTTTTAAATTACACAATCCCAAAAGATGTCAGAGTATTGCAGTATCTTTATTAAAAAAGTGTTAAATCAAGAAAATACTAGTCTTATTTTTTTCATTATGTTCTTTATAGTAATCTATAACAACAAAAATTCCACCTCTCCCATGGGTGTAATGATCAGGCACTGGTCAAGGAAAATTTTGATAGCAGAAAATTGCATGTCAAATTAGAGATAAATTAATGAGTTTAGTGTGAGGAGATAACTGGCAGAGCATCTCTGATCAAGCAGGTGTTTTCTACATCTCTTGGGAAATGGGCAAAAGGAATCAGTCTCTTAATTAATTGCTTTTGTTGTATTGAATTGTTCTTGTTGGCTAGTCTTACTTTCAAGATAAATTTGACGTAATTAAAACTAATTTGATATTGTATATAATAATTAAAACTTATATGATATTGTATAATATAATTTAAACTAATTATTTATTGTACATTTTTTATTTGAATTTTTATATCTTTACAACAAATTGCAGACTGCCTTGTCTCGCTAAGATGTCATTCGAACAATTGAATCTAAACTGTTTATGATAATTTAACAATATTTGATGGGCATATCATGCTGTGGTGGGGCACTTTATTTAATGAATGAAACTAAGGTGCAGCCTAATAAAGCATCAACACTAATAATTACAGTGTTTTTTATTACATTGAAAAAATAGTTTGCAACTATCTGCCATCTTTGTGAGACATGACACTCTGCAAATTGATTGTTGAAAAAAAAAATATCATAATTAATTATAGAAAATCAAATTGATTTTAATACCTTTATATCAAACTCATTTTAAAAATAAAAGGCTGGTTTTAGTAACTATGTATTTTGACAGACATAAATTACAATTAAGAGACTTAGACAACAGAGATCTTTATTTCTTTCTGCCCAATTCCCCAGAGATATAGATAAGACCTGCTTGATCAGAGATGCCCTAACAGCTTCCCACACTGAACTCATTAATTAGTCTTTAACTGGATGCATGTCCACTCATTACTCTCAAGGGACAAATGGATTTACACTATCTGCTGTGTAATGTAAAAACTGTTTTTAATACTTTGTGGGGTTTTTTTTAAGTTCTAATGAGTAGTTTTAAGCTGTAGTTCACATTTTTGTACAGATGTTCTAGATTCTATGTCTCAAACCTTAGACATGAACCCGAAATGACTAAGTCAATAAAAATTAAAAAAAAAAAACACCTGTAAAATACAGAAAAATTATCAAATAATGTTGAAAATACCAGGTGCACATCTTCATATGGTGAATAATAAGTGTACAAATTTTCATACAAATCTATGCAATAGTCTCTGGGAACAGATCCAGACAAAACCACATAATAAAAATGAAAAAAACACCTGTAAAATGCAAAATAATTATCCAATCATAATGAAAATACCAGGTGCACACCTTCATATGGTGAATAATAAGTGTATAAATTTTCAGACAAATCCTTCCAACAGTTTCCAAGAAATGGTCCGGACAAAATCTCGTCTACAGACAGACGGACGGACATGCTGATTCCAATATACCCCCCCCCCCAAACTTCGTTTGCGGGGGGTATAATCATAGGGCACTACAGCACAACTCGAGTTTTCACTGCGACACACGCTCACATGATGGTGTGTACTGATGATTGTAAATTCTGCGCACTCATATAGGGAAAATAAATTCTTATTGCATAAATTACAGAATTTTGTTTCACATTGATGTTTATAATTTCATATGCATAAACTATGCAAGAGCGCATATTACACATAGCATTAAATAGCGATATCAACATAAAGTACCCCAGCCACAAAACAATTAACGTGTCATCCATGCGTATGCATAAGACTAATACACACAACCTTTGGCTTGCATAATTAAAATCAGGGTAAGCCATACTTACACATGGTATAATTATCGCGCTATTATCTATTGATCACAGGAACACAGGTAACCCGTGCGTGACAGACAGGTGGTTGTTATCAATAGAGCATTCAGTTTACCTAACGGACTTGATCATCAGAGCGGAAAATTATCCTGACTTCGAGATAACGCATGTGATTTTAATGAATGGGTACACAATTTTACTTCGAGATAACCGGGGTATTCGACATTACCGTGTTCGACATAGAGGGGTTTATTTTAATCATTTATAAAGCAAATTTCGTCGGGACCGCGGCCTTACTTCGACATATCCGGGGTATTCGAGATATCCGTGTTCGAGATTTCGAAGTTTAGCTGTATTAAAGTTATGAGCCGCACACAAAAAAGCTAACAGATGGACAGACGGACAGACATGAACGCCATAACATAATACGTCCCGTCTTAAGAAGGGCGTATAAAAAAACTAGAATACAGAAAAATTGCAGGTTCAAAACATACATATGTACATGTATATTATAAAATAGGAAGAGTCTTCTGAAAAGAAAATGTGTAGTGAATCAAATAATTTCCTCAAAGTTTACTCTCTAGTGTACGAGCAATATAAATTCTCTAATTATATAACATCCTTTAATTTACCTTTACTGACAAGTACTTCTCTCTCATTATGTTAGATCCCTTAATTTACCTTTATTGAAAAGTATTCCTCTCTCATTATGTAAGATCCCTTAATTTACCTTTATTGAAAAGTATTCCTCTCTCATTAAATAAAACTTTTTGATTTACCTTTACAGACAAGTACTTCTCTTTACAGATGACCTGCCTGGTGTCACCTCCAGGAGAAGAGTTTCCTCTGGTGTCTGCCTTTTCCACTTTTTTCTGGATTTTCCCCGACTTAAGGTCACCAGAGTTCAATGATAAAGTCTGAAGAGCATCCTCTAAGTCTTTGTCAACTTCTGATTTCACCACAGCTGAATATAATGGAATACTATTTTGTACATTGCTATTTAGAAATTTAAATACTGTGAAATAACTCATTTTCAAAGGGGGGGGGGGTGTAATGAGGGGATTTCCACTGTTTCCATGGTGTGAAGAGATCCACAAATTCATGTCTTCCATGAAATGTTAAATTTTAAATATAAAACACATCAACAATTTTTCAACCATGAAACTCACCAATATATTTTTGTCAAACAACAAAAGTCTGACTCCAGGAAAATAAGTGATTTTACGTAAATGTACTAGGATGCTTACTATCTCCTTTGCTGTAATTATTTTACAAAAATTAAATATTCCTTCAAGCAGATATGTAATGTGTGGATAAATAGGTGTTCTGTATCACTTACTATATCCTTAGAAGGAAACATTTTTACTAACCATTAACAATCTTTTTTGCACAATCAGGTTCAACATGTTTGAAGTAGCACTGATTTCCATTTCTACAAGTACCTGGTCCACTGTGAAAATGAATTAACACTTCAATGTAATGATACAACATAAATAGAGATCACAATTTAAAGTTTCTAGGTTAATGTTTTAATAATAATAATAATGTATATTTGGTATATATACAGTGTTCCAGCTAGGATCTGAAAATGGAGGGGTGCAAGTCTGCAAGAGGAGGGCACTTTTTCGCCACGTATACCGTTTGTCACGAGCTTTTGTTACAAAGGCGTATCTCATTACTTCACCCTTATAATAATGAACTCCTTCAAATATTAATTTTCTTAACCTTATTGATTTGAAAGATATATAAACACACATTTAAGGCCTAATCTATAGCTAGTATATAAATTAACATATAAAAAGGAATTTAAAAAATCCTCTTAGAATAAATATTACTTTTCTTCTTCTTTTTTAATCATTTTCTATTCTTATTTCCTATTTTCAAAAACAAAACCATAATTCTTATAAACTAGCTGGTGTCTCACATCTTCAGTGCAGTACATGTGCTACATGCGATTGGGTCTGTTTTTGGCAAATATATAAAATATGGATACAGTATTTGTAGGTTATAAGTAACATATTAAACTAGTATTAAACTTACAAATTAAAACCAATATCTTTTTTGCTTGTTTTATCATATTGGTCATGTTATTAGCAGATACTTAATTAATTAAATTAAGATTTTAAACTTCTGCAATGAAATAGAACACATTTAATATGTACATATCTTGTAATCTCATAAAATACCTTCCAGAGTGTCAAAAATCATAATTAAGGAGAAAATGAATGAATATTTATACTTGTTTCTGTGCTATTAAATATTTAATTCCTTCTTTTTTTCAGAAAAAACGTCAAGAATTTATAAATAAGAAATGAAGGTCAATGTTAATTCTACTTTCACTTCGCGATTTATTTTTAGAACGCTATAATACATGACTCGTTTTATATTTATTAAAACAGATAACTTGGACATTCTCAAAGTATTTGAGCTTTTAACCCCTATTCAGACTGTCAAGTGATCAAAGTAATTACCTAATCTCCTGTAATTGAAAGTGGGCACCTGTACATTACATAGGTACCGTAATACGAGTTTCGTTGCGTAATCGTCTATGACAGGAGGTGTGAATTGCTGATTGTCCTTAGATAATCTGCATTGGAACACACTAATTATTCTAATGAGGGAAAAGGACAGTCAGAATAATACAGGACACTAACAGGGGACACAGGGGCGCTTGTGGGGGGCAGAGGGGCGTACTGATTTGAGGGCGGGGCGCAGCGCCCCTCTATTTCACCCTAGCTGGAACACTGATATACGTATATATGATATCAAGGATCAATAGCCCATGAAAGCTTATTTCCGAATTGTGCCCTTTATTGCACGGATGTTGGCACAAGGTCATTTCTGTGGAAGGAAACTGGAGTATACCCAGAGAAAATCCACGTGTTGGAGTGGGTGACCACTTTGCCCTCTCACATACAACCACTGCCATTAATCAGGTCTGGGCGGCCTCCGTTTTTGGAGGATAGCTAGATTCAACATGGCGGCCAAATTTTTTACCATATATGGAAACCGCATTGCATTGTGGGATAGTTTATCCTCCAATTTCAGAGGATAACACAGGTAATTTTCAAAAGCCTCGTGCCTACCTTTAATCAAAAAGTGCAAGTACCAGAGTACATGTATATTAAAGTTCAAACATTTAACTATCGATTGTATGTGGCGATTTGAGATTCTATGTCTAGAATTTTTACAATACGCTTTCAAAGTTGGCACTTCTTGCACTCCATTTTTACTTAATATTTCTTGGCATTTTTTATATATATATTTTTATGCTTTTCCCTATCAAGACATATAAAAAGGTACTTAAATAATATTACTTTCATATTTTTTTCTCTTAATTTAAAAATGAAGAAAAAAAGAAACACAGAAGGAAACGTATTTTAAACACAAAAGATACTCTGCCTTATAATTTAAGCAATGAATGAATATAAATTAAACAGATAAAAAAAATAATATTATAAAAAAAAATAAATTATTTGAAAAGCATATAATTAAATAAAATAGATAATTTAACATGTTTACTAAGAAATTAACATTATTATATACATGTACATACATATGTATAATAAATTAAAACAAAATATTACAAAAATGATGTGTTTCAGGATTATTCATTAAATGAAATACTAGTAATACTTAAACTTAATTTTTCAAAAAAAAAAAATATTTATCAAAATTTGTAAACCGTTTTACACATAATTACGGTACCAGAAAATCAGCTTGGTTGTAATTGATGTCTCAGACAGGTAAGGGTAATCGTTGTTAACTAAGCTTTATAGTTTAATTAAAACTAAATAATTGATTGACAGCAATTACAAAATAAATGTTATACTGATTTAATATCTAGATTTATCTATCATCACATGAAATTTTACGGTTTAATTGTTACGGTTCACAAACTGATAAATGCAAGAGTTGCTGTTATTTGTTTGGTTAAGAGTTAACTGCCCTTTGTTTTGAAAAATCCGATAGGTGGCGACACCTCTATCCTCTGTTTTTAGAGGATAAAATCTATCCTCCAGAAACAGAGGCCGCCTAGACCTGTTAATTGGGGTCTAACTTAGATCACAGTGGTGAGAAGTGAGTGTGAACCACTGCTCTAGCCGGACACCCATTTCATTCTTGTCCTTATCAAAATTTCATGAATGTTCTTACTGTGTTCTCTGTTGAGGAACTAGAGACCTCACATTTGAAGTCAGTACATTTCTTATTGTTATTTCTTTGTTTTTGTTTTAAAGCTTTGCCTGTTTGCCTTATTTAATAATTGTAATGATTTGGGTTGTGGATAATGGCCTGAATAGCTCAGGTGGTAGAGCACATGACTAGTGATGCATGGGTCCCAGACTCCAGGTTCGATTCTTGGTCTGGCCATACATTTTCTGTGTTCTGGTTTCATAATTTGATGTTGTTGACCACCCCTGGACTTGCAAGTGAAAGTCCTACCAAGGGAAAATATAAACTTGGATTGTGTTGGGTTGTGTGAAGACAATTTAAGGAGGGAAGAAGTGTAATGGATTGGGCCGTGGACATCAGCCTGGGTAGCTCAGTTGCTAGAGCACCTGACTAGTGATACAGGGGTCCGGGTTCGATTCCCGGTCCAGCCTAACATTTTCTCCTTAGGCTTTCCTGTAACATAAATTACGTCATAATCAGATAATTATCATAATGAACTTGATCAAGTGGTTCCCGCATCCCCCAAAAAATTACATAATAAAATGTGTTTAGCATTAATCTTTACCTGTAGAAGCGACATCTCGGAGCCACACCTTTGATGTGGGAGTATCTGCAATGATCCCCATACCAGCATCCCGACGGAGAGTTGAAGTAGACACAAGGTTCTGTGCTCTGAGGAAAATCAATGTACTCACTGTCTGTATTTACTGAACAAAGCTATTACTTTTCAGATATCTCATTTAAACTTTAAATTTAAGTACAAACTATCTCAACTTAATTCCAAAAATAAATAACGTTCTTGATTAATAGAGGGCGGAGCCCTCTCACGGGCCCTTCGGGCCCGTGAGAGCGAAGCTCTCCCTATAGGTAACACGTATGTATGTAAAATACATTGAATTCTATTGTAAACTATATTTTTATTACAATATCTATGGAACTGAGAACCTTGTCGCCAATATGGCGTCCATAGTCTTTTCCATCTTGAATCTCGCGACAAATTCCCGCATAAACGAGATGCTTGAGAATCGTAATTTTAATTCCAATCCTGCGTTAATAAAGTTTTATCAATTCTAATAATCAAAAACACCGTTATAGTAAACATCCTTGTTACTTTCGTTTTCAACTAACTTGCACCCGATCGTCATAGATCTGACATGTGACGTCATTCATTGACTGAATCAGCGGAAACTGTTGAATTTTTAACAACCTGTAATAATTAATATTTCATATGCGCACTCTCTTTTTAAGCATAGACGATGGTTCCTTTGGAAAAGTGGTTTTACAGAAAAACTCTACATAGGTAAGATGTTGAACTTTTACATCTTTGAAATCTGCATATTTAGCTATGAATGTACGTAAGAGGACGAAGGATAATTTACAATTAGACAAGGGTAAGGTACTTTAAAAAGAGATTTATTCACCTTTTAATAAACCTTACTATGTTTTTGGAGAAACAAAAACGAATTCCAGTGACGTCACTGTCTAGACTGCGTACTACGCACTATGGAGGGGCGGATCTTACTGTGGCCCCTTTCACTAGCCTTTAGAGAAAAGAAACAACTCTAATTTATTTGTTAATAAAATTTATTTATTATGAAATGTCTTCAGGGTTATTTTCAATACACACACTAGAAATATAAGATTTTTTGTTACGTAGTATAATTTTCTTCTTGAATAATACATTTAAAAAAATGTTTTAGTGATAAAATATTGCACGAAAAGCTTTACTGAATTCTGGTATGAACTCAAGAAGGGGGAGGCGTATGCATTTTATTTTTTAATTCTAGTTTTATTTATTGTTTGTTTGTTTGTCTTTGATTACCTGCTTGTTCCTATATATATTTGCAGGTGGAGGCCTGTGTCTCATTTTTGTTATTGTGATTTTTTTTCTCAGAAGTTTTATAAATTTTTTTAGCGTCAAATTTCAGTTTCGTGAAGCTCACCATCAAAAGAAAAATCTTTGGACATGTTTGAAGCTCAAACTACCAAATCAAACACATGTTCTATTTATACATGTGGATACGTTTCAACGGATAAAATAAAATGATTTCTAATGTTTCTTTTAAAAAAGTACTTTTAAAAATATAGAACAGAAAATTTATTCAGCCAGTTGGAACCTATGGTGGATTATGACAGTGTATGAAGTCCAAAATCATATGAGAAAACCTAGTTAAACAATACATGAGGGACTGCAAAACACATGACATGTATATTAATGAAGTTTAATATTCTCTTGGCTTAAAAAAAGTACCCACTGCAAATACAGAATCTTCATTTGACGTTACCCCTGGTAATCCATGTAAAGAGGTCAATGTTGTTGAGTAGTACTAAAATATCTTTTTTTAAAGCTTCCATATATTATCTTTTTTATTAATTATGTGGTGGATAGGGATGTCACAAAACATCAATTACTGATGCAGAAGGGGGGGGGGGGGGGTTCGATACATCGCTAAATATTCTATTCAATACTTCCCAGAAATGTACCATATTATTCACACGTTTTGCTTTTAAAATTCTAATAGTTTTCACATAAACATGCAATTTAATATCTGGAAAAAACCTTCTATTGAGTTAAATCTCAATCTAATTAAAATTAGATGTTCCGAATCCGCTACCGTTTGAGAAGCCGTAGCGGATTTGGAACATCGAATTTTAATTAGATTGAGTTAAAATTGTTTTTCCAGATATTAAAAAGAAAAAAAAAATTACCTTGCGTTTATGTTAGTTTTATAAAGCACTAAAGACTATTCGAATCAGATTAGTTATTAAAAAATGCAGAAACGTTAAATTAGTCTACATTTTTTCCATTAAAATTAAGAAAGTAATTCAGAGAAATTTTGCGATCATACTGATACTTTTAGCCCTCATGATACACAGCCCTAGTGTTGGTCAGATGATAAGTTTCCAGGTGTCCTGATAACCCAAGAGTAAGATCATTTTTCTGTAGTTTGGGTCCCAAGTTCGACTTCTGATAGGAAGTAAAAGATGAGAATTAAATGACTTCATGTTTCTGGATTGGGGTTTTTAAATTAAGTCGTGAAAGAAAAAGAAATGATGCCCATGCAAGTTCACGCATGAATTAACAGATTAAGGGACAGATACATAGGGGAAAGAGTTAACGTTTAAGAGTTCTTGGGCCTGGGTAGGTTGAATCCTTGACTGGTTCAGTGCACGCTCTTTCCCCGTTATGCTATTTGATTTTGAGTGCTCTGGCTAGGCAATTCATGATGAAATGTCTTAGTAAAAGTTTTCCAGATTTATAAAACCAAATACCTTTAAATTTATTTGTTTGAAATGAAAAATATTTGAGGTAAGAGAACTTAACTTTGTTATGATTTCCTGACACTAATTACATAATTTGATTTTAACACTGATCTACCATTAAACAATAAAATGTAGAAATGTTCACTTGATGGCTCCGCCCTCACCAACGGTCGCACCGTCTAACATATTACAATAAATACAGTCATAAAATTTCATCTACCTACCATCTCGAATCTGCAATTAAATTTTCCCGCAAAACTGAATTTGGGTAAACTAAGATCCCGAGTAATGGAATTCAAATAATATGAGTGATGTGGAAAAAAATCAATAAAACTAAGGTGTCAATATCAAACATCTACATGTATATATGCATATCCAATGTGAGATTTTAACAATGTATTTGTACTTACAATCTCGTTGTGAAATATTAGAAGGGGTACGTTGTTGATCTGGAATTACCCTAATCTTTTTCTACTATAGAAACCAAACCGTACTAATCCGGATAAAGTCAACAACAACAACAACACTAAAGAAAAATGCTTTTTGGACTTCGAGAAAAATATATCATATAAAGGTGCACATATTCCGTGTTATTAGTTCATTTTTAACATAGGGTGCCTGCCTCATTTCTGCAGAAAAAATGTTCAAAGACAATGAACTATTTGTGAACAGAAATCACTGTTGTTTACTTGCATCGGAAAAATTAATGGAAATGATGTATTAATCTTGGTCTAACATAACAATAAGAATACTTTAATTCATAAGAAATTATGTCATTAACTGTAGATTCCCATTTATTCTATTTTTCTTCTAGGGACAGATCACTCTAACTCAATAAAACTACCCTACAAATAGAACTCTTTAATGTGCAGTGTTTAGAGCTTCCTTAATTAAACAGAAAAAAAAAACAAAAGAAAAAAAAAATGGGGGGAGGGGGGTTATAATAGCTACCATTTATTTTGGTACAGGATGCCACTGGCTAATAACAGGGACCTATATACTAATACTAGTATATAGCTCCCTGCTAATATTTAACAAATGCTAAATTAATTGGTTCAAAATAAAGAAATTACATATCAAACCGATCAGTTATTGATCATACATATAATAAACCAACATCTATATCATTTACACATGGGAATTATTTTACAGTAACAACTTCATTATTATACTTCTGTTAAAGGGCTTCCAACATAAAATTTAGGAGATATTTTTTGGAGGGAAGGGGGTCTTAAAGATGATAACTGGCAACACTGAAAAAAAAGATTGAAGTCCTTTTAAAGATAATTTTCAGGACTTTTGATTGCACTGCTCATGAGTCCATTGACTGCAACAATTACGTGTACCAAAGGTGTTGGGAATGGGACATCACTTCCTTCAAAGGCTTTTCAACTTATTTAATTTTTATGAATCATTTTTTTGGTGGTATATTTAAAAAAAAATCAATCAAAAATCCCTAAGGGATGTAAATCCAAGAGGGAAAGTACTCCTATCATCTGTGTTATGTATATAAATAAATATGGCACTCAATTCAATGATTCTACTCAGTCAATTTTAGAGTCAAACCTAAAGGGTATACTTTAATCTCAGTCAACTGAGGACTAATTCCATTTGCAGGAGATACTCTTTTGATATAGTAGAATAGCATATTTGGTAATTTTTTTCTTGGTTCTTTCCGTTAATGCACATTTTGATAAACAATTAACAGTTCATTTCTACAATATTTTGATATTTATTTAATAAATAACAAAGTCAGCAAATGAATGCAAAAGAGATTGGTAAAGTTGGCTACATTTTTTGTGAAAAATGGAAAAACCGATATAAACCAGCTGAAGTGAATAAACTAAGAGCTGTGTAATTTCCAATACATTATACAGATATAATACATGTATTACATGTTTGTTCACTATTTTATTAAAATATTGCACAAATCATTTCATCTAACAATATTATGATAATATTCATTTAGTTTGTAAATGTGACTTTGACATTCTATAATGAAAATGTTGATTACTGCCATTAATATGAAATAAAAGATTTTCTCAGAGAGGATTATTCATAGGCACATTATATAGGTCATCCATCTCTCAGCTACACTTCCTAATGATTACCGGTAAAATGACAAAATTCTTAGGGCACATCATGACAAGAAGTCATTCTCTGTCCAGTCAGGATTCTTAAAGCATGAAAGATAAATAAAATGCACTTTTTATCCTTCATAATTAATCCAGATGTACAATGTATCCATGGAATTTTCATATATGGTTGACTTTTTGATCATCCTTTAAATTATTGAAACAGTTCCTTATCTAAAATGCTCATAAATTTCTTCACAAGTACAGATACATTGTAATTCTTAAGAGTCCACAATGACAGTAGGTCAATATATTTGTAAAATGATTAACTTAGAGGAAAAAATGTAAATGGTGTAAACAATGAACAATTTATCACATGAAAAATATATCCAATAATATTTCTATCACAAACAACCATAAAACAAAGTCAACAAAAATCTTTTGACAATAAGCTTTCATGAATGAAACTGCAGTTTTTCATAACTGATGGACCATTGAAATTACACGTCCTATCATTAATAAACTGGTTTTACAAATGGCAATATTCTTTGTGACTTATTGTGCCAGCATTCTTAGAAATATACATGCAATATAAACAAGGGTCTGCATCTGTACAACATACAGCTAGAGACGAAGCAACATTACCCTGAGAATGGAGATGGGGATCTCATATTTGGGATCAAAATTGGACTTATTTGGAACGATGCAATTTTTAAATTCAAGTAAAGAGTCAAACCCATTAACAATTTTATCTATGAAACAACACTAAAATCTACAAAAGAGTAATTCTATTTGTGTTAGCACTCTCCATTTGGTTTTGGTTAATTTCTCAGTTTAATCATATACCACACACATATCTCAATTTGTGTCCAATTAACTAAATAACACCTTTCACACTTTATGCAAAATACAAATACACTGCCACAAATTTTGCATAAACATTCATCACTGCACCATTATAATAATGCCTATATATGTGTGCAAAATGAATACATAAGGCTAATTAACATGGTAATATAAACAAAGCTGATGAGAATAGGACATTTTTACATACTGGTTATAGTTTGACATGGTAAAACCTGAAAGGACAGGTATATTATATATGTAAATAATTATCAAAAGTACACTTAGTAATACATATAATAATTCAAGTTACAAAGTAGCACAGACCATATTACAAACAAGAACGCTATCCAGATGACACAAGAGTTTTAATGACTAGGAGAAAGACAAGCATCTTTTAGACTTTGAAAAATGATCAAAGCAATTATTTCAATGAAATGATGTTAGTCTTAACAAAAGTATTTTAATACAAGCACTTTCATCCCATACTATATTGATAATTATAAATCATAAAGTTTTTAGATACATGAATATTTATTGATAGCTGTAGTAAATAAGCCAAATGCAACCAGTGAAATAAATTGTTGATAAACTATGAAAAAATATCAACCTTTTTTAAACCAATTTAGTGCCCTGTACAATGATCAACAATGTAATATTTAATGAAATTACAAAGTTACTGAAAGAATAAATATTTAAAATGATTGCATATAGAATTTTCCCCTTTTTGCACAACAAAGAATTTCAAATTCTTTATTTTCATGTTTCAAAATTATACATGTACATTGTACATTGTATTTTTCTGGCCATGCTAATGGCAAATAATTATTCATAAAGACATAAACCCATTTTCAATAAATAGTACCACCTACTCATCATTTAGTTAAAGACTTTAAAATAAAATACATGTACAAAGTATATTTCCCTCATGTGACAATGCTCTCAGAGTGCAGAATAAATATATTTTAATAAATTAAATTTTAGAAAGAAAAAGATAGATTAGTAGTAATTATACACAGAGTTGTCTTAGAATAAATCATTTGTGTCAGAGAATTGCTTTTGCTAAACTACATGTATGACATTATAATTACTGGAATGTATGACCATATGATGTCCACTATCTGTCCACACAACATCCACTTTCTGGCAGAGGTAATTCTATAAGATGCCTTGGTTTGTTGATTGCACAAGCAACTCTAAATCAGCTGAGAGTTTCATGCTGCTGCAGTCAGCAGTGTGACTTTTGTCTTCTAGGTCATTAATTTTATAAGCACTATGTGAACATTATCTGCTATGCATTGTCAAATTTCTGGAGAGCTGATTCTAATTTTTGGGTAATCTGAAAAAAATATATAAGTAGATCTATTTAGTGTATATCTTTGTGCATAAGATAATTAATCAGTGAAATTCTTTTAAATACTGAGTATTCAATTGAAATGAAATTTTAAATCAGCAAATTCATGTCAAACCACAAAAAGATAATAACTCTAATTGCAGAATGGCATGAATTTCACAACTTAATCTGGTCGGTGACAGGTTTCAGTCATTTTGGAAATTGTTCATACAGAAACAAATCGTGGTACATGTATAAACAAATGTATAATATACAATGGATTTACATATAGGAAGGTCAAAGTGTTAAGGAATGGCAATATGTCTTACTGATGCAGTATAGGTAAAATATGCAAAGCAATATTACATGTACAACCAATACAAGAGGAACTGCCATGGTAAGCAGGGGCAAAAGGTTTTACAGAAGAGGTACATGTTAAAATAAGTCACAGAAAAGCCAAAAATAAAATCATAGAATAGTGTTTGATTAGTTGCAAAAAAGCAGGATTTTTTCTGCGGAAAAGCAGTGTCGAATCCTGAAACATTCATCACACCAATGAAGAAGCTCACCTCTCTGTAGAATTTTATTTGTCCTGCTAAGAATTTCTTCATCATGTCTTTGTAGTCTACGACTCTTTCTCTCTGGAAATGGTTCATTTCTGCTAGAGTTCCGAAAGATATAACATCAGCTCGCTGTATCACAGCGGTTACGTCTGACTCTGGCATCCTTCCCTCCTCCTTCAGTCTCTCACACTCCTTAGCTTTCCCTATGGCTCCCTACAAAATGTCAGTGTGAAACTCCTTAAATGGTAACAAACACATGAGTATAGGAAGTATGCTTCAAGTATATAATATGTAGTAAGATTATTCTTTGTCAACTTAGTGCTAATTTCGGTGATGTTTTATACCTCATGTAGCTTCAGAACATCTGGGTAGGTAGACAGCATTCCCTTGTACTCAAATAAAACATCAATCATAGGATCTAAGTCTTCCTTTGGCTACAATCAATATAAATCAAAAGTAATGCTTTAATATTAAACATAGTTAAAATATAAACAATGGGAACTTAAAACATCTCCATAAACAATAGGCCTTGGGCTGTAACACATAAATCAATTTTCTCTCCCTTATAAAGAATTTGCACATGAAGGTAAATGAAATCCATTATTGCAGTCACCAAAACAAAGTCCATGATTTCAACATTTTTAATTTAAAACAGTATATTAAGGTTAAACGTCAACTTAAGTTTACAAATTCTGACTTCTTCTAAAATTATTGTTTATCTGCAATATATCTGGTACCAATGTAGTCCATTGAATCTGCATTACATGGAATGTTTTCATATTCATTGTGACAAAACATGGACTTGTTTTTTTAAACGATTTTAAAAGATATTTTATACTAGTCATGTATATTCCTATGTAAAGTTTGACCCTAAATTGTGACCCCATCGTTGCCCCTGGTGCCAAGAATTGAACACTTTTACTTCCCACTATATGGGGAAGGTTATCTTATTATTTGAGGAATTATGACTAAGCTATTCTTTTCAAAACACATTTCACAGTGTTTTCCCAGGGACCACAGTTTGAACAAACCTGATTCTACCACTACCTGGAGATGCTAATATATGACGACTTCTTGTCTGCTATTTTTTTTACTTTTCCTATATATTACTATACACTCAGCCCCGGTGGACATAAATTGTACACTTCATGAGGATGCTTGCTCATCAACATGACCAATTGTGGCTCTGCTGTTCTGGAGAAGGAAATTTTGAAAGTATTTTTCCTACTTACTCCCAATTAAAACTTTGACCCCCAGCAATGCCACCCTACCCAGATCTATGTCTTGAACATAACTGAATCTGCACTATTTAAGAAAGCTTTCATTTTTGTCTTTTATGACCATTTGACTCTTATAAAAAAGACCCCCCCCCCCCCCCCAACAATATTATCACTATTATAATAGTAATTCTTATTCATTTGGAACAAGGTATTTCTTTATCTAAACAACTTGAATCTCCAATACCCAGAATGCTTTGTACCATCTTATTTGGTTGAATTGCTCCACTACTTCTTCATAATTATTCAGATGTAAAATAAAAAGTGAAAAGTTAACAGACAACAAATATTGATCAGAAAAGCCTACATGCCTGAGTTAAAATTACACTAGTCATCACTGGATGCATTATGCTTGCAAATATGGTCCAGATGAGGCTTATAGATACTTGTGAATCAGAGCTGCTTCAAAAACTTTAACCTGATTACTGTATTGCAACTGAATAATTCTAAAATTGCTAAAATTTTACCTGTTTTTCATACATATCTCCTATTTCATTGTATGTATCTCCTGTGTAATCAATTGCTGCTGTTAAATTTCGTGAATCTATAAATACAAATGGACATACATTGTACAATAAAATAAATTTAAAATCCACTTTTGTACGAGAGCTCCATTACTTTTCAGGAATGGAGAGTTGCAAATTGCATTGAAAACGGTATTTGCTATGTTCAAATTCTCCTTCCCGTGCCTCTACCGAGGAAAGAACTTAGAAAATTTCATCAAATTTGTTTTTATCTGAAGAAAAAATCGTATTGGTACTGCTGAGAATCGATCCCTGTACCATCACCATGATAGTCGGACATTCATCTCATTATGCAATCGAACCTGTTCACTGACGTGTGATTTAAATTACTTAATTTATATTTTTTGCAATTATATTTTTCTGCAATGCTGCAACCATTAATCCCATATCAACAAAGAAAGAAAGAATTTTTATTAATATTTAAGCGAAATCTGTTTCAAATAAAAGAATGACATGAAATCCAACTCACGTGCTGAAGCATCCAAATTAAATGTCTCAGCCATCTGTTTAAATGACCCACCAATCTTCTGAAATTCTCTCTTGTATGCTGTTAAAGAATATGACCTTTGAATTTTGATATGAAATTAAAATACTGATATATTTAGTGGTATATGTTTATGTAATTAATTCAATAAAAACATAAATACATCATCACTTCAGTGACAATAAACTCACGGCCTAGGTGTTTCTTCCGACTGTCATGTCCTATTTGTAACATGTTCCGTACATTATCATCCATATTTTTCACAAATTTACAAAAGATTTCCATTCTTTTCTCCCTGTAATTATAGGAAATTACAAAACGTAAAAAAGCAATACATGTATGTATGATTAAATATATATAGCTCACACCTAAAGATTTTCAGAATATCATTATTTATTTACCAAGGTAATATCTGCTTTTAAAGAAATGATATCAAAACTATAGACCAGGTTCCAGGGACAGTAAACTTTTACAAGCTTATTTTTTAATCTTAGTCTCACTTTTACAAAATGAATTTATTGTGGGAAAATAAGACTGAGATCAAAAAAGAGCCTGATCTATGTTTTATGGCCCTTGAGCCTATTTCTGGGGAAAAAAGCAGCCATATATTTTCTTAAATCCATGTACATGTGTATTGTACTTATTACATTAACTTATGAAAACATAGAAATCAATGATGAATGATACGTACACATCCCTCATGTCTAGTGAGGTGGGTGGAGTTTGTAGGGTCAGGAAAAATTTTCCTCCTTGGTATTCATCTTTCTCTGCTTTACGTTTTCCAGCCTTCCATTTCTACAAAAATCCATAATTAGCAAAAATGTAGAGAATGCTCATAACCAATATATGACACTCTGGTAGACTTTGGTCTTAAACTATTCAACAACACTGCCATTTCAAAGGATAAATTACATACATGCTACATACAGATATTTTATTTACATATTGCATGTTTTTATAAATTATTTCTAATAAGGAAATATTCGATTCCTGAAATTGTTTACTGTTACATGTATATATATTATTTAATACTGCTAGTTAAGTGCCAAATACAATGTTTTACTTATTGAAAAAGATTTTAAAATAAGATTTGACTGGCAAAGGAAAAAAGAAAGAAAAAAAGATGCATGCACAATTGTTACATGTTTTTGAGAATTTCTGAAAATAGTACATACATGTAGCTAGACAAGTAGATTACAGTTTTATCATAAACCATATGTAATGTATGTAAATGTATGTATATGTTAATATTGTATCATCGCATTCTCATTTCTTGTGTACAAATTGTACAAAATAGATAAGCTAACAAACTGGGTAATATACAATTAATCAAATAGACATCATCATAGTTTTAATGAAATGAAAGAAAATTATGAAAAGGCCATTTTCCTAGATCACATTTTCAAGGTTGACATAAACAAATTTAGCAGGAAACCTTTCAAATTCCAATTATGAACTGAAAATATTGCTTTACTTAAAAAGTTGTAACTACACAAAAAAGAGCTGGAGGTATACATAAAAAATATTGGCAGGATGGAGTAATTGCATTATACGGCCAAATTACCCAGTTTGATTAGCCAATATGTGTATATTGTATAGTGACTCCAAAACTTACTGCAAGACCCTGAAAAAATTTCAATATAATATCATTACTTTTTTCTGTACCTATGTCATGCACATCAAAAAACATTCAATATAAAGCTCTGAGGCTTATTATGAAATCTCTCTTAATTAGGCAAGAGACATACATGTACAGCATAAAACCTTGGATATTGGTGTAATCTGAACAAGCTGTTGAATTGATACCTAGTTCACTTTGTTTAAATGGAATCAAAACAGAAATGATATAACAAATTTATAATGACTGACATATTCTTGCTGTAGGTAAGTCCTTCCTCTGAACAATTTTTTAGAAACATTTTTTGACAAAATATAATGTCTTTAATTATTGAGAAGAGAATTTCAGTTTGCTCTTGAGTAATTGGGAAAATTCTAATAAGATACATGTATTGGAGTTCAGAAAAAAGAAGAAACTTTAAAATGACCAAACTGCTTCTACAAGATTTCTTGACTAGAAGATTTGACGCTTGGCCATTAAATACCTTTTCATCCGTACAGGTAAGGAAGTGATTGAAGACCTCGGACTGTGAAATAACAGGGTGTCGAACCATTCTATCTACCCACAGCTGTAGCAATTTCATTCTCTCTGATACAAAGTCATCCTCATAGCGACCTGAAATGTCAGATAAATCATTTTACTCACAGGTATTTGACACAAAATATAACAACACAGCCCCGGTTAGAATCTGTTTCAGTAAAGAGCATCAGTTGAACAGATAGTTGGTTGTTGTCAATACTCACCAAAGAGAAGTGCAGAAATAAAAAAAGTTTACTTGACTTAATTTATATCTAATGAAAAATTTGAATTGGTGTGATTGATAAGGCAAATTTAACAATAATGTAAATATGTGTGATGGGTTTAGTTTTCTTCAAAACAATTAATAAGAATGGGAGAAATTATTGCTTGCATTAATTTTCATATTAAAAAGCTTATTAGACTGAGATTTTGCTGAAGAAAGAATACATTTCCTAAAACTAAGCCAAGGTCCCAATATCATAAATTTGCTATGAAAGCAGTAAAATTGATAGAAATATTGCATCTAACTGAACAAGGAAGGGCATAACTTTATATAAAAATTTCTTAAATTTATCTTGGTAGCTCTTTACCTGTGTTTAGTTAAATCAAAACCCCTGTACAATAACTTCCTTACATCTTTTACAAAATGCATGTACATGTATTTTGGCTTGCTCAAAACATGGCTTCTGTATTTCATGTTAGAAATAAATATATACAGTCAAACCTCGTTATCTCAAACTCAATGGGACTGAGAAAAACTTCAAGACAAGATGTGTTTGTGAAACACTGATGCCCCCGTAAGGCAGCTAATGGTGAAGGTAAAAGTTTCTCAAATGCAAGTCAAATTTCAAAGTCAAGGTCAAGAGATCAAAAATGTTGTTACCCAAAGAAAGTCTTGTCTCAAGGAATATACCTGTGAAATATAAAAGCCCTAGCACCAACAACTGAAAAGTAATGGCAAAGGTAAAGTTTTTTTTCAAAAGAAGGTCAAATGTCAAGGTAAAGGTCAAAATTAATGGTGCCCAAGTGAATGTCTTGTCACAAGAAATACACAAGTGAAATATGAAAGCCCTAGCATCAACCATTCAAAAGTTATGGACAAGGTTAATGTTTTTCAAATGTAAGTCAAACTCCAAGGTCAATGAATAAAGGTAAAAACTGTTGGTACCCAAGAGAAGGTCACAAGAAATATGTATATGATATATGAAAGCCCTAGCACCAACCGTTCAAAAGTTATGGCCAAAGTTAAAATTTTTTAAAAGTAAGTCCAACTCCAAGGCCATGGTCAAAGGGTCATAATTGATGGTACCTAAAGGAAAGATTTGTCACAAGAAATACACATGTGAAATATGAAAACCCTAGCATCAACTGTTCAAAAGTTTTGGGCAAGTTTAAAGTTTTTCAAAAGTAGGTCAAATGCCAAGGTCAATGTCAAAGGGTCAAAATTACTGGTATCCAATGGAAGGTTTTGTCACAAGGAATACACCTGTGAAATTTGAAAGCTGTTCAAAAGTTATGGCCAAGCTTCAAGTTTTTTAAAAGTGGGTCAAACTCCAAGGTCAAGGTAAAAAAATCAAAAATATTTACACCCAAGGAAAGGTCTTTTATTAAAAAATTCACATATGAAGTATGAAAGCCCTAGCACCAACTGTTCAAAAGTTATGGCCAAGGTCAAAGTTCTTGCTGACAAACAGACAGCAAAATCTACCTTTCATTACAGGGGCATAAAAACATGGAAGAGACTTCCAACTCACTTCAACATATCCATGGTAATTTAAATACATGTACTGACATTCTAGATATTGAAGTTCAACTGTAGCTTGTGTTGACTGTTTAAAACTGTTAATAGTAAATTTGTTAGATTCTATTCTAGAGTCCACTTCCCACTACAAGCAAATGAGTCTCACACCTCATAACTTATTCAAGTTCTACTATTTATGAATTACCTACTTTTACATTTTAATTAGTTTTTATCATGCAAAATGAACTTCTCCCATTTAAAAATGAAATCCTTGAGTAGCAAACCTTTTGATGCATTTTTTGCTGAAATTCCAAAGCATCGACTTTTAAATCTTGATATATAAATGAATGATATTTAATATTTATATAATTTCTTCATTCATCATTCGGCTTGTAAATTCTAGCTCTACAACAACAATATATGTGCCTTTCATGATAATTATGTAATCTAAATGACAAACTGGTGAGGTGTGTGTGCGGGGGGGGGGGGGGGGGGGGGTGGAGGCAGGGGGGAGACTTCAAACAGTAAAAAGAGACCTGCACAGTAAATAATGCATAATTAAATTAATCCAGCTATTTTAAAATGAGATGCTAAGCTTTGGATGGCATTAATAAGGCAGACGTGCAAGAATACCCAGTACACCAGATAATGGTAAGGAATGGCTGAGAAGCTAAGGCTATAAACAAGATATCAGTAAGGAATGGCTGAAAAGCTTCAGTTATAATCCAGATATCAGTAAGGAATGGCTGTGAAGCTTCAGATATAAGCCAGATATCAGTTAGGAATGGCTGGGAAGCTTCAGTTATAAGCCAGATGTCAGTTAGTAATGGCTGAAAAGCCTCAGTCACAAGCCAGATATCAGTAAGAAATGGCTTAAATGCTTCAGCTATAAGCCAGATATCAGTAAGAAATGGTTGAGAAGCTTCAGTTATAAGCCAGATATCAGTGAGGAATGGCTGAGAAGCTTCAGTTATAAGCCAAATATCAGTAAGGAATGGCTGAGAAGCTTCAGTTATAAGCCAGATATCAGTAAGAAATGGTTGAGAAGCCTCAATTATAAGCTAGATATCGGTAAGGAATGGATGACAAGACTCAGTTATAGGCCAGAAATCAGTAAGAAATGGTTGAGAAGCTTCAGTTATAAGCCAGATGTCGGTAAGGAATGGCCAAGAAACCTCAATTATAAGCTAGATATCGGTAAGGAATGGATGACAAGCTTCAGTTATAAGCCAGATGTCGGTAAGGAATGGCTGACAAGCCTCAATTATAAGCCAGATGTTGGTAAGGAATGGCTGACAAGCTACACACCTCCTTTTACCCCCTGAGTTGATATGGAGCCAAAGGTGACTGCAACGAGTTCTCAGTGATAACAAATCCAAAAATACAATTCATGACATCACAATGATGGTAGTAAATAAACAATTATTCAAACTATTCCTAATTAAGCTAAAACAAGCAATTACATAACTATAGTTTCTACTACTTCAGTACTATGAATGATTTTTCTATAGATAGTCACAAAGAATCTGAACACAGACATCTTGATACATATATCAAGTAGATATACACTCAATATAAAAGATATACACATGTACCGGTACTTACCTGAAATTGCCTTATCTGGTAATGGTGGGATAGGAATACATGTGAACTTTGCCTCTAGACGCTCGTGTAACCAGTCAAAGTGTTTGTACCTTCGACTGACCTGAATGTTGCTAAACTACAAAATCATATGAATAATCATTATAATATCAATTTCAATTATGTTACATTTAGGAAAAAAATCTATATATATCCTTGTGAACTCAGAACTTCAAGAAAAAATTATTCTTTACATTAACATGTACATGTACTTGTAATGTGCTTTGCCTTCATGTACATAAAAATGTATTGATATTGCCAGGGGTGTGCAATTAGCATCGCCCGACGCCCGGGCTACCATTGTTTGGGGTCGGGCTAGTAGTTTTATGCACGGGGGCAGCCCCTTGGGCTAGTAAAAATTAAAACTACCAATGTAATACATGAAAATCACTATCGGTATTTTCACTCATTTTTTGCTATTAAATTCTCAAGCAATGAAAAATTTTCGGCAGCATGCTCCAATTGTTCGTAAATCTCCATAATCTTACCCATTTTGCAGTACTACCTGAATTATGTACTTCCAAAAACGATCGTTTTTATCTAATCCGAATTTCCTCTATTCCTCTGTTTATGGTAAATACACCTGCAGATATCTCATTAAATTATTTACAATCACTCAATCAACTAAAAATAAGTGTTATGTGGTTTACATAAAAATATATTTCCAGCATATTTAATGATTTAAGATGAAAAAATGATTGTCATTTCATTTTAGATAAGATAATTTATTTGAATTTATTTTTACTTTCTATCATAGTTATCAATTTATATATGATTTAATTTTACTACTGAAAATTGAAAAGAATCAAATTTATTTTAAACCCTGACTATTTCAACAATAAACTATTTCCTTGTAATATTAGTTGTTAACCCCCCCCCCCCCTACATTTGGGCGAGTAACTTTTTACTTGGGGCTAGTAACTTTATTGCTTCCACTAGCCCGTGGGCTAGTACTTATTTTTTTTAATTGCACACCCCTGATTGCCATTACATAATATGTATGGAACATACAGCAATAGTACACTTACAGAAGGTGTGAGTTGATAGGCTATAAAACTCTTTAGTCCCTTTAACTTGCTCTCTTTTTTGGGGGACTTGATGGAACATGTGTAAGGTTGGGAGGGATAATTCCAGGCAGGACCATCTACTGTTTCCTACAATTAATCCACATTTCAAAAACACAAAGATTTGTGTGTATTTCTAGAAGAGGTGATCATTTAATTAGCATTTGAACATTTGAACCCAAAATTTGTGAATGCACTTAATAAAATAAAATATACAAGAGTGAAAATATACAAACACTGTAAAATGTGGTTACTAGTATATAGACGGGTTGAAATTTTGATACTTTTTTTTTCCAAGAAAGTTGGTGAATGGTAACTTTGACAGTCTAGCAGAGTTCAATATTCCTCTTCAACAATGATAATAAATTTGATGAGTAGAAATATTGACAATTGTAAGTCATACATGAATTTGTAAGTCATACATTAATTTTGTCAATGTTGCAACATCATAAATGATTCTACATTTACAGTAAAGTGTACTTTAATGCCCTGTTCACACGGAGAGTTTAATTTGAATTAAACGTAAGTTACTGCCAATTAAATTTGATCCATGTTCACACGGAGAATTTAATGCAAATTAGTTTAATTCGAATTAGTTTACTGTGCATTAAATTACTTCGCATTAGCTCCATGTGAACGCTAAGCGAAGCTAATTTGAATTAAATTTTGATGCATGCATAAGGGCAGAATTAAGTCACAGGCCACATGTCGATGGTCAAATATAGGTACTTATGCTATTTTTGAGTGGAAAACAAAGGAAAATTATGTTAATCACTAAAATGTGTACAGACACTATGACATTATGTCAAATGTATATCTGCTCTGCACAAAATGACGTGATTTGTAAATGACGTCATAATAGCCTTACTGAATAGCCTTGTTGTAGAAGTAAAATTTTAATTCGCATTAGTTTACTTCGCATTAGCTGTCGTGTGAACGCAATTTAATTCGCATTAGTTTGATTCGCATCATTTTACTTCGCATTAATTTACTGCGAATTAAACTCTCCGTGTGAACAGGGCATAATTTTCTCTCAAAGTAAAGTCAGGTATAAAGTGATGAAGAAGAAATCTGTTGAGTGTATAAATGTTTAATATCTATTATGATAAAAAAAAAAAAAAGCAAAATACAACAAATGAATATGACATACTATGATTTTGATAAGGTCGCTCTCAGACACGTTGGCTGAAACTGTTCCCATCAAAAAGGCATCACCACCAGTTTTGGCAAAGGTTGAAAATCTGTGTACAAAACAATCTTCAAACATGAAATGCCTATTTCCATGAATTAGAGCTTTAATTTTCATAAAGAAAGCAAATTTAATCTTGTAGCCAATAAAAAAATACTTACTTCACATATTTTTAAAGTTAGATTCTCAATTTAAGGATAAATTATGTATCTTATTGTAGTCTACTAGCTTGCATATATTTCCAAACCTTACAGAAGTTTTCGATGCACCAACTTACCTGTTGAAACTTTTCTTGACTGTGCCATATCTGGACACATCAGAATTTGGGGATAGTTGTTTCTTTTCCCTTTTTGGAGCAGATAATCCAAAATTTCCTGATCCAGGAAGCTGGTCCTGTCAAAAAATTCAATAAAATTAATATGTGTCCTACAATATAGATAAACTGGCATTTATTAAATTAAAATATCATTAAACAGCCATCATATAGCAATCTGTAAAACAATCATTCAAATGACACCACTTCCATCTTGGCACAAACTATTTCAGTTTATTCAAATTTTAGATGCACATATTAAAGATAGGTAGCTGTTTCACAAAAGTTAACAGACAGATGTTCACTGCAAAACACATGGAATCTCCCTCTATCCAGACCCATGCAATGACTAACAAGTCACTCAACTAGATACTGTTTAAAGCATGCATTACTGTAGATTCCTTATGTTATGTGAGTACTAAATATAGCAAACTGACATAGATGCTAAATGGTGACAATTCGAATTTGCTTGTGGACAGTTGAACAAAATGTTTTACTCATTTCAGCAATACAAATATAAAAGCAATTCTACTTCACGAGTGATGCTTCTCACAAAATTATGCGATAATACAATTTCTCACATATATTTAGGAATCTACAGTATTGTTCAATGGCATTGTTTTATCTATTTTATTCTCCACATAAAACAGTCCCTTTTCCAAGCTGTGCTGGCCTTACCTCTAGAAAATCCTGTTCATATTGAATATTAGAGACAGAGAAAAATTATACTATACATGTATATACAAGGCAATCTATCAAAGAATTAACGAATGTTTTTCAGAGTTGTAATTACTAATAACTTTAAGATGTGGAATTCCTGGTTAGTTGACAGCTCTTTTAACTTGTTTTGATGCTATATAGTATTACTGTATGGTAATTAATTCATAAAGATTTAAACAAAAAGTTAATATGTAACTGACACACTGAGTTTCAGTTCCCCTTTACATAAATGTATGTAGTACCTAAATGTGTACATTTTTGACTGTGCAAGAGTATTATAATACAAACTGTAAGTGCTTTGTTTAATATTTTATTTGTGGAGTGCAGATTAGTTTTTCAACAACTGTGGGACTGTGTGCTAAAATACAGACATTGAGCCTGCATTGGTTTTCTCATGATCTGTAGAGGTGTACTATAGGTTTTGGGTATTGGACTCTTGTGAGAGGTGCTGACTTTTAAAGTCGATGACCTACTTTTACACTAGGACAATGTATGAAAGCTCCTTTGCAATATAAATATTTAGCTTAAAAGTTAATTGGAAGATAATAATGGGCCATTTTTAAAGCACATATTACATTGTCAAGAATGGCAACCACCCTATTCTCATCCTCCCCCCCCCCCCCCCCCCCAAACAACTTGACCAACTCCTGCCAAGTTTTTCTTTCCGGAATGATTTTTTTTTTCTTATTTGATTCCTTTAAAAAACAAGATTGAAAGGAGATACATGTACTACCCCTCACAAATAATGTATTTTGAGTTATGTCATTCTGCCTCCCATCATCTCTTGTGTTGATTGTATAGTGGTTAATCATATTAGCACCCCTAAAACCATATCTATAATCACTATCTTATGTATTATCAATTCCGTATATAATGCAGGTTTAAATGTCAAAGAAAACCGTGGACTGTAAAGTCAGCACTTCTTGTAATAGTCCATTTGGAGACTTGATATTATAAATGACTACCTCCTCTATTATCACTTCTAGAGATGGATCAGTGGCTACCTGTTCTGTTGTTGTTGTACCTGGGCCATCAGACTTTGTCTCAATTAGCTAATAATATGTGACTTGTGTTACTACAAAGTGTGTTAGCTAAAAATTCATGACCAGAGCATTTTCTGTTCAAATTCTACTGCTATATTTCATCACAATAAATTAATATGACTACATGCATTATGTGCATTATTTAGCTTTGACTGCATGCCTTTGTCAAAATTCAGTAAAAAAAATTACTATATAAAGCATAATAAAATTTGGCACAAGCATTTTAAATGAACCTCCTTCATAACCCATTTACACACTGATCTGTATTATTTAGTTAAAATATCGCCAAACTGTTATCATTAGTCATATTTACATGCACAAATTACTTCCTAAGTTCAACAGCGATTTGATGTGTTTATACTAGAGCTTTATAACTCAATAAACAGCCTCCTCAATGACCTCAGTCCTTACCTGGCTTGTGTTGGTTGTACCTGACGAGTCATCATTATCATCATCCCAATCATCATCCCAGGTTTCTTCACTGGCCTGCTGATGCATCCCTCCCCCATGGTACCCCTGATTGTTATGGTTTGTGTAGTCTGGGGCAACTGGGGGCTCTTGATCCCAGCTGTCAGTGGTGTGACTGTTCCAATCACCACCCCCTACTTGTGGAGTGTTCCAGTCATTACCCCCTCCATGCTGGGTGTTCCACTGATCATTGGGTGCTGATGGGGGTGGTGGTGGAGGAAAAGAAGGTTCTGGTGGCTCCAGCAGCTAAAAAAATGTTACTTTCTAAAACAATTTCATTTTAAACCAGAAGTCTTTAATTTTTAGCAACCACACAAAAATGTTATAAAATTATATTACAGTTACATATCTTGATGATCTGTTTTACTAATTTAGTTGAAATCAGTTCAAGACTGTGTACAAAAGGTGTACAATTTGGTGAAATTAGGTCAAAACAATAGCTTGAAGAATAGTATTCAAAAAAGAATTCAAAATATTTTATTTGCAACAATGATTCATGAAAATTGATGTCATTAGAAATGTGTACCATGACGTAGTCTACTTTTATAATTTTATCAAAATTAGAACCTGGACTGCGTTCAAGATCATAGCTGCTAACCTAGCAGCTAGGTGTTAGATATCTATCCCTATTGAACGAACAGCCAGCTTAGCCGCTGAGTGTCAGATTTCAAATAAAAATATTTCTTTAAAAACTCATTTTTGGAACAAAAAGAGTTTATTCCAAGCGAAAATATATGTGTAAATTTACATTTATTTCCCTAAGATGTAGAAAACAATTCCCTTTTATATTAAATTCCTATGTGTTGCAAAGTTGTAACTAAGGAGGCCATCTTGGATTTGGCACTTAGTATTTTAAATATTTAAGCTATCTCTCCCTATGTAGCGGCTAGGTTCAAGAGCGTAGCTTTATGTAGCAGTACTTAATTTACATGTATATTGAAACCAAGCCAATATTGTAAGAGTAGTAGCATTATGAAGGACTTCACAGATATAAAGGCTACAGACAGAAAATAAACTTCTGGCCATAAGCTCTTTGAAAACTTTTCAGTTTTTTTTTATTAGAATGTGATGCATAGTAACATACACATTTCCACTCTACCTCCTACTGCAGTAAATTTTGCAGTACATCTTTTCATTTCATTCTTACAAAATGAAAATCAATCTTAACTTTCAATAATTAGTTTTCTACATTTTTTTTCTCCCGTAAATATCAGATAAAAAAAAATGGAGAAGGCTAGAACTGATCAAGTTAAAAAAATAACAAAGTGTAAACTGTTGCAAATACTACCCTCCTGTATGATAGTATGTTGATTTTTTAATTGTGCTAGGAGGACATTTTGACAATACCTGTACATAGGCCTCAGGGATAAGTCCCTGCTCACCAGTTTCATTTTTGGCTTCCCACCAGCCTTCTCCTATATCCTAAAATTAATAAATTATATACAATTATTTATACTACAAGTACATAGTTTTGAAGTACACAAGGTTTATATGGAAAGAAAATAGCAAGTCATTTTAAAGAACATAAAATGTAACAAGAAATGATATTAAATTAACACTCTCAAAATATGTCTCCAATCTAAATAAACTCAAAGAAGTAGGGGTAATGATAGCACAAATAACCCCCCCCCCTTTCCCCTTCCCAAGCAATTTACTCTGGTCATATGTTAGAAATTAAACTGTCTGTATTCTTGATATCGAGAATCAGAATAAGAATCTCCAATCTCTATCTATATCCACACAACTCAATACCTTGAATCTATATCTGCACAACTCAACACCCTTGAATCTATACCCACACAACTCAATACCCTTAAGTCTATATTCACACAACTCAATACCCTTAAGTCTACATTCACACAACTCAATACCCTTAAATCTATATCAACACTACTAAATACCCTTAAATCCATACCCACACAACTCTATACCCTTAAATCTATATCCACACAACTCAATACCCTTAAATCTTTAAGCACTAATCCTTATTTTGCATTGTCATATTACAGCATTGTCAAATGACAGCTAGTAAATGTACACCAATGTTATAAATGCAGGAAGAAAACAATTCATGTAGCTTCCTAATGTAGATGATCAAACGAAAAGATAGTGACAAATTGATCACCTAAAAACAGGGTTTTTTTTAACAAATTGACAAATTGACCACCTAAAAACAGGGTTTTTTTAATCAATATAATTTGTTTTGAGATTTTTTTTATCCTTCCAGCTATGTTTACATGCATGAGAACAGTTTAACAAATGTGTGGATTGTTTAGATATGTATCTAGGACAAATGTTATCTGTATACACACACTCTCTCTCTCTGTACTCTGTCACATTGTTTGTATTGTATGTACAGGTCATCACCAGAAAGGATTAGAGTTATAATAGTACATTACAATTATAAGTATCATCAAACTTGTCCACTGTATGTTACTCAGGGCATTACCTAAACCCCCACAACCTATATATATATCATGATTGCATAACAAATAGTCAATCATTTCATAAATAGTACAATATGACATCAAGTTTTGTGTTTGCTATGTTTTATAATTCTTTACGAAATTGAAGAAAAATGCACACATAGACATTTCTTTGTTCAAAAACATTTTTTAAAAAGATAAATCTCTACCACTTTCTAACTTACATTCTTTGCCTGAAGGAACCTAATTTTTCCCCCTGTGTAGTTAAATTATTGTGATAAAATTCTTTGATTAATTAGGATGATATTAAGGTTATCTGTAGAGCCCATGGTTCACTGTTCTAGTAGCTTTAAAAGCTGAGGACTGAAAGATACCCAGTAAAAATTCAGGCACACTCTCTGGATATTTTTGTTCTACGCCTACTAAGTAAAAACATTTTACTAATCTGTTTACCTGTTGTAATTGTTTGACTACTGATTTTAAAGCTAAAGAGTGGACCTTCAATGGATTATTATTCCATTCAGTGGGAACTAACTCATTAATTAAAGCATCAATTGCCATCAAATAAACCAGTTATAGTTCAAGAAGGATTTAGCTGTAATTTAAGCATGGAACAAGATTAGCACCAAATTTGGACTGCAGTTCTTTGCAATGAACATATTAATTATATCATGGGCAGATTCAATTGGCGATAACTGGGTGGGACTATCAGCAAGGGGTTCCAAAACTCTCCCTTATAATTTTCATCCTTTGTAAATTTACATGTACATAAAGTAGAATTCCCTAAAAATGACTGGAAACATTCAACAGATAAAAAATTCATTAATAAACATGTATTGCAGGTAACAAGTCAAGGGCTGTAATTCTAAAGTCTGTCCAAAATCATCGAGGCAGATCAAAATTGGAACTTGATCTGTGTTGACTCATCAAAGTAGACTCATATATACCAAAAATTAGTAAAATCAGTATCTGAAAGTGTCTAAAAAAGACATGATATCCTGTAAAAATATTAATCTTTTTAAAACTGTTCATTCACAGTAATTTTATCAAAAATCATTGAGGTGGAATGAAATGCAAATTTGCTCTGTAACCCATCAAGGTAGACTCACATCTCAAAATCTTAGTGGGACAGACTGACAGATAGCCAGAATGACAGACAGATGGGGAAAACCTAAAATCCCATCCGGTTTCACCGACAGGGACTAACAACCAGTACCAAAGTCACTTATTTACCAGTCTTAATAATGATGACACTTCTTTTTCAGCATTATTATAAACAAACTTTAAAGCTATATGTGTGTGATACTAGTCAAACATTCAAGTACTGCATAAACACAGTGAATCAAAACTTAAAGATTAGATCATCAGGAAGTGTCTGAAGCTCCTGCGTCCGAAATAATGAAGAATGTTTAAGTAGGCAAAATTTGATATTTCCCCTTGCTCACAAGTTAAAATAGCTAAACTGTTCTCTAATTGGTCTCTGACCAGTAAACTAATTGTGCATCAGAATGTCTCATGAGAATCCTTGACAATGACATTTACTTGTGGCTATTTTACATGTATAATATGCTTTAAATCACCTATTAAATTGAATTCTCAACCCAGAGTACATTTACTGTGTTATCTACTCATTGCATATAGACTGAATTGTACTTTTCCTGTATACAGACATAACACCTACAAAGGAATTTTATGATGACCTTGCCATAAACACATTCATACAAAATAATTTTATTGTATAAAGATACACATAACACAACAAAGATGACAGTCAGTTTCCAAGGTTGAATCTCTCTTGTCTTCATTCAAGCATTTAAGAATGATCTTGACAATCATACTGGTAATTAAGATTCTGTTTATTTGACAAATACCAACATTTGTTCATAGAATCGTCTTTTATATACAAGTTTAAATTTATGACTGGTCGTGATGTGAGAAATATAAACAAACGTATAAATGGTAACTGACCACAATTTTGTTTTAACACCTTGCCACATTTCTTATTACTGTACAGTCAAACTCAGTTATAGCAAAGTCCTGGGAACCTGTGAATTTACTACACTATATTAATTAATACAGTTGAATTTCAGTATCTAAACATCAATATCTTGAATACCAAGGATATGTTGAAGTGATTTGGAAGTTCCAACCACTTATTTCTTTAGTATTTTACCCTTGATATCTCAATTCCTCAGTTATCTGGAAGTTTTTTCAGTAACATGGAGTTTGAGATAACGAGGTTTGACTGTAATTCTTTATATCCATATTATAGTATACATAGCAATTTGCAATACACATGTTTTTCTTACAGAATGACTACCAAATATTTTCAGGGAAGTAATTAAATACATTACTTAAGTTTTCTGATGAATTGAATTTGAATAACTTACAAAAAGTAATGTATGTTCAATACTTTAAATTTTGAGATCTTGAGAAATTTGTTATAATTAAGATGTAAATTTAATTATTTTTAACCTCTACAGGACAAAAATCCAGTTCAATATAACCATAAAATTGTTGTATCATTACATAGTTTGCTTTAACCATAAAATTTTATAAGGAATTATTAAGAATTATGCTGTGGATAAGCTTTACTGTATAATTAAGTATTTAACATTCCACTATTTTGTTCACATTGCTACATTTCTTAACTCTGAGTAACAAATGCACTGTTCACCTGAAATGTTACACCTACATTAAACTAATATGTCAGTAATTATATTAATCATAAGTTGCGTTAATTGTGAGCAATACCATACTTCACAAATTTGCCTTGCTTGAGCCAATTTTAAGTATCTCATTGAAACACAGATACATATATATATATAGAGAGAGAGAGAGAGAGAGATAATATATACATGTGTATAAATTAAGCTACCCCATGATATCTCATTCTAAATTATAAAAACTTATTAGGAATTAAATACCCTGGAAACATGAAATTTATATCAATTGATGATTGATCATCAAATTAACACAATGAATTAAAAAGGAATTTAGATACGATTAAATTCTCATTTTAATGAACATTGTCAATTTCCTGTAAATCATTATGGGCCTCCTTATATATCAAGTGATGATATTGTTCTAGGTAAGCCTTCATGTGCAAATAATTTAAATAAAATACCTTCCTCAATATTTAAAGTATATATATTTACAATTTGGTGTGTATACACTGTTTACAATTGGACAATAGTACTACCCAGTTATGTGTTGATAATGATAAAATATGATAAGGTTCAATACTGTTGATATCAGTGAATATTTGCAAGAAGGAAATGTTTTCAAAAATTATCTGTTTATACAGACTGATATAAGCACGTCAAAAACAAAAAGATGAAAGTCCAAGTATTTGTAACAGTTTGCCCAAATATTCATATACAATCATGTAACATAAATATATTTCATTTAATACCATTAAAATAAAAACTATAGGCATGTAAGGCTAAAGCAAGCTCAAACAAGAGGCCCAGGGGCCATATCGCTCACCTGAGCACTATGGCTAGGAAAAAGCAGAAATCACTTCAATCTTGAAAGGTTGAAAAGTTTAAATATAAAAGTGGTTGGGGGGGGGGGGGGGGGCAGGAATTGAACAAATTTGAATCTACATTATCTGAGGATGCTTCCATTTAAATATGACCAATCATAGCTTTGCTGTTCTTGAGTAGAAGATTTTTAAAGATTTAACCTATGTATTCCTATGTAAAACTTTGATCGCCCATTGTGGCCCCACCCGACCCCCGGGGGTCATGTTTGAACAAACTTGAATGTACACTATCTAAGAATGCTTCCATATAAATATGACCAATCATGGCTTTGCTATTCTTAACAAATAGTTTTTTTTAAAGATTTTTACTATGTGTTCCAATGTAAAACTTTGATGGCCCATTGTGGCCCCACCCGACCCCCGGGGGTCATGATTCGAACACATTTGTATGTACACTATCTGAGGATGCTACCATATAAATATGACCAATCATGGCTTTGCTATTCTTAACAAATTGTTTTTTTTTTTTTTTAGAATTTTTACTATGTGTTCCTATGTAAAACTTTGATCGCCCATTGTGGCCCCACCCGACCCCCGGGGGTCATGAGTTGAACAAATTTGAATGTACACTATCTGAGGATGCTACCATATAAATATGACCAATCATGGCTTTGCTGTTCTTGAGAAGAAGATTTTTACTATGTGTTCCTATGTAAAACTTTGATCGCCCATTGTGGCCCCACCCGACCCCCGGGGGTCATGAGTTGAATAAATTTGAATGTACACTACCTGAGGATGCTTCCATGTAAATATGAGCAATCATGGCTTTGCTGTTCTTGAGAAGAAGATTTTTAAAGATTTTTCCTATATATTCCTATGTAAAACTTTGATCGCCCATTGTGGTCCCACCCGACCCCCGGGGGTCATGAGTTGAACAAACTTGAATCTACACTACCTGAGGATGCTACCATATAAATATGACCAATGATGGCTTTGTTGTTCTTGAGAAGAAGATTTTTAAAGATTTTTCCTATATATTCCTATGCAAAACTTTGATCGCCCATTGTGGCCCCACCCGACCCCCGGGGGTCATGATTTGAACAAATTTGAATGTACACTACCTGAGGATGCTTCCATGTAAATATGACCAATTATGGCTTTGCTGTTCTTGAGAAGAAGATTTTTAAAGATTTTTCCTATATATTCCTATGTAAAACTTTGATCGCCCATTGTGGCCCCACCCTACCACCGGGGGTCATGATTTGAACAAACTTGAATCTACACTACCTGAGGATGCTTCCAAGTAAATATGACCAATCATGGCTTTGCTGTTCTTGAGAAGAAGATTTTTGAAGATTTTTCCTATATATTCCTATGTAAAACTTTGATTGCCCATTGTGGCCCCACCCGACCCCCGGGGGTCATGATTTGAACAAACTTGAATGTACACTATCTGAGGATGCTACCATATAAATATGACCAAGAATGGCTTTGCTGTTCTTGAGAAGAAGATTTTTAAAGATTTTTCCTGTATATTTCCTATGTAAAACTTTGATCGCCCATTATGGCCCCACCCTACCCCCGGGGGTCATGATTTGAACAAACTTGAATCTACCCTACCTGAGGATGCTTCCACATAAGTTTCATGTTTTCAAGCACAGTGGTACTTGAGAAGAAGATTTTTTAATGATGCCATTAATTTTTCACGAATTCTTAATTATCTCCCCTTGGAAGAGGGCGTGGCCCTTCATTTGAACAAACTTGAATCCCCTTTACCCAAGGATACTTTGTGGCAAGTTTGGTTGAAATTGGCCCAGTGGTTCTTGAGAAGAAGTCGAAAATGTGAAAAGTTTACAGACGGACAGACAGACAGACAGACGGACAGACGGACTACAGACAAAATGTGATCAGAAAAGCTCACTTGAGCCTTCGGCTCAGGTGAGCTAAAAATCATACTCCCCATTGCCAATTTTTTTGAATTGGTATATCTAATATTTCTCCATTAAAAATTAGAGCTTACAATTGAAAAGTAATGTACCAGACACAATTTTTTTTCTGCCAATAACCTTGAACTTGTCCAAATCAGTTTGGGTCAAGGTCATAGCATATCTTAAGGTCATAAGCAATTTTGTATAAAGTAGGAGCCCCCAATATTTCTCTATTACAAAGTTATGGTGAAGAAACAATTGCACTTACAGACAGACTAAGTAATTTCTATATACCCCCAAAAGATTTGTTTGAGAGGTATAAATATAGAAACAATCTAAATAAAAAAAATCCATAAGTATGCTGGTTTACCTAAGCTACATTTGTGAGGATCTTCCAGACATTATCAGCCTGTAAATATTATCAAACCAATTGTACAAAAGTGAAAGTCTCACACATTTACCTGTGTTATGGTTATGAGGACTTCCCCTGCTCCAATTCTTACCTGTGCTATCATTGTGAAGGCTTCCCCTGCTCCAATTCTTACCTGTGCTATTGTTATGAAGGCTTCCCCTGCTCCAATTCTTACCTGTGCTATTGATATGATGGCGTCCCCTACTCCAATTCTTACCTGTGCTATGGTTGTGAGGGCTTTCTCTACTCCAATTCTTACCTGTGCTATGGTTGTGAGGGCTTCCCCTAATCCAATTCTTACCTGTGTTATGGTTGTGAGGGCTTCCCCTGCTCCAATCAGTGTTTTCAATAAGATTTTCAATGGAAGGAAATATACTTGGAATAGCAGGAAACCAGTCTTGGTGAGGGGTTTGTAGGGATGCGCAATTTTATCGGTATACCGGTATATCACGATTTTTTATTGCGTGATACGTATCGTGATACGAAGACTAAAATACCGGTATTTGGTACATAACTATAAATATTCATTTGTTAGTTCAATCTATTGAATGACAATAACAGGAAGTGTTAAAATGTTGAAAACAGTTAAACAACTGCATCCAAACATTCTTTATATTAAATAAATAAATATTTAAACAGTAAAGTTATGTTTTTATAGCATATTTTTAGGAAATATTATGGAAATTCATATGAAATTGTAGTAAAAATTGTATGTAAAAATATCACGATTTATTGTGATATTTTTGGGAAAATATCGTGATATATCACCATACGAAATTTCTGCCAATACCCATCCCTAGAGGTTTGGGGGCCACCTCAGGCCCCCCAGCGGATCCAGGGCAAAGCCCTGGTGGGGGGGGGGAGCCCCCAGGCCAAAAACGAAAATTAGAATTTTTAACTAATTTTTCTTACCTCTCAGGTCAATAAAAAGTACCATGTTTTTTCACATTTTGGTCAATATCAATTATCAAATTTTACTTTATAAAGCCATTTAGAATTAAAGGTAAATACTTTTCCTGTATTTCAACAGATCTAACACAAATAAACGAGAATACAAAGTTTACATTTTCAGTCTGAGGAAATTCTGTTAGAATTCCTACATCTTGGCTACAATTAAAAATTAAGACTTTATTCGTTAGGTCTAAAAAATTTGACATTTTCAGTTTGAGGAAATACTGTAAGAATTCCTACGTCCTACGTCTCAGTCAGGATTAAACAATTAAGACTTTTATTTGTAAGGTACGGTCTTATTATATCGGCCTAGATATAAATAATTGCTGTTGTGTACATCTTGACCTAGCTTGTGCAGTGACAGTGAATATTTAAAAAAAAAAAACATTTATTTTCCTGTTCGACATTTTAGACCGGCCGTAGATACATGTACATGACGCTTCTGTCAATGAAGCCCCAAATTCTCAATAATCTTGATCATATCCTGTAAAGCTAAAGTTAAATCACAATTGTTGAGTTGTGAATTTTATATGAGGTTGGATTTATTCATTAAAAAATTATTCTTTAAACTTTATTCTCGCAAGTTGTAGACGTAGCCTTGTTGAGTAGTTGTAGTACCGTACTTATTGGATCAAATCAAACTTCGATGAAAAAGAGACCACTCAAGGAAGTTACTCTAGATCATTCAGATATTCATGATAAAAATCTACGGATTTCATGTATAACCTCAAAATCCCAGTGACGGAAATTTAATAGCCGGCAAAATTTCTCGTACAGGTGGTTAATTTTGTTGGTTGCCGGCTCTTATTGAAAACACTGCGAATTCTTACCTGTACTATGGTTGTGAAGGCTTCCCCTGCTCCAATTCTTACCTGTGCTATCATTGTGAGGGCTTCCCCTGCTCCAATTCTTACCTGTGCTATTGTTGTGATGGCGTCCCCTGCTCCAGTTCTTACCTGTGCTATGGTTGTAAGGGCTTCCCCTGCTCCAATTCTTATCTGTGCTATTGGTGTGAGGGCTTCCCCTGCTCCAGTTCTTACCTGTACTATTGTTGTGAGGGCTTCCTCGCTCCAATTCTTACCTGTGCTATGGTTGTGAGGGCTTCCCCTGCTCCAATTCTTACCTGTGCTATGGTTGTGAGGGCTTCCCCTGCTCCAATTCTTATTGTGCTATTGTTGTGAGGGCTTCCCCTGCTCCAATTCTCACCTGTGCTATGGTTGTGAGGGTCTCTCCAGCTGTAAACATTACTTGAGCTATTATTGTGAGCTTTCCCCAACTATTTTAGGGGTTCCCTGGCTTTAAATCTTACCTGTTCTACAAATTTATGGGTTTCTCCAGCTCTAAATCTTACCAGTGCTACAACTGTTAGGAATTCCTGGCTCTAAATCTTACCTGTGCTACAATTGTCAGGGTTTCCCCAGCAGCGAATGTCAGCTCACCATTATCAACATCTCCAGCAAAGTCATATAATCCCCGGGCATGTACAACCTACAAAAGTTATAGAAATGAAAAAGGGTCAGAAAATATATAAATAGACAGCATGTGAGCACAAAGATAGATCTTTACAAAGTTCATTAAATGAATGTGAAAATTTCCACTCAGAATCAAACACTAAAGGAAAGACTATTTCTATCACCTTTCTAGCTGTCAGCATGTTAAATCACTGGCAGATTCTGAGTGCAGCGCCATCCCTATTTCACTGCCAGCGATCACTGCCAAGCATTCAATGACCCTTACATTGAAACACCAAACTTTCAACTTTCTAAAAATTCTCTGGTGTCAAAGGTTATCTTTTTTACAATGATACAAGTATTTCTAATCATTTTTATCAAAGGATACAAGAGGTTAAAAAAACCTTCACAAATTTTCCTTAAGACTGACAGATGAACCATAATTCAATGTAAATGATGAAATATAACAGAGGCTGAGCCTTTTTATTCAGTGCCCTTTTCTACAAAAACATTATCTTTGTGGGGAAAATGCAGCCTCATTCTTCTCCATGCACAGACAAGATTATATCTCGTTCTATCAACAAGTATGTGATGTTGGAAACCTGATACAGGTATATTTTGATAGAATATCTGGTCAAAGGTGACCTGACAGAGAAACAAGGATATGTAAGGAGTAGATGTGATAGCTTTTCTGCTTCTGGAGCTACACAAAGGTTACATAAAAGGTTACAGGTTTTGTAATACTACAGAGGTGGCATCATCATCTTCTATGATGTTTATAACCTAAATTCAACTAATCTTATATATGTACATGTACTATCTTGTCAGTGGCTCAAAACACTAAGGAATGCACATATGATTCAAATAAAATTATTCATGCTTTGACAATATTTGCTTATAGTCAGTGCATGTAGATTTGTAGACCTTTTATACCTGTTGCACAAAAATTAATACAGAATAGAAAATGCTACCTTTGCTTTAGATCAAATTAATGACACTGATGTGAAGCAATTCAAAAGAAAATAAAAGAAACTTATATAAAGAAACAACCAATGATAGTCATAGGACTAGCAACTCAGCTTTAACCTCAGATCCTCCCTCTTTTAAAAAAAAAAAAAACAACTTTGTTTTACAGCATATCAATTTATTTGGAATAATTTGAAAATTGTCAATTGCTTTTATTAATAAATCTTAAAGAATTAGATAAAAATTTGGTTAAACAGAAGTGAAAATTATCAACAAATGACCTCAGTTGATTTACGTAAGCCTTGACAAAATAGAATTCAGAAGGAGCTGACAAGTAAAATGTACCATTATTACTTATTACTCATTACCTTGTTCTGTTAGTGATCTTTCAATTGGGGCTAGTGATTTTATTAATCACTGCTTCAAAAGTTGGTCACTAATTGCAAAAATATTTTTAAGGACATATGCAACGTACCTTACCTACTGATAATTTTTCAAGATATTATTGATTTAAGATTATAGTGCCATCAGATGTTCATCATGTTCATAGACAAAAAAATCAGCATGCATTACCAGGGTATTTAAAAAGATGAAAATTCTAGTATAATTCAAAGAAAAATACATGAAAATTAATAAACATATATAAATTCTAGATGTTTTGTTTATCCAAATTTGTTTAAGAAGAAGTGTACAACAGAATATATAGACATTAATACAATTGTATGAAGCACACAGTTCCTTTAAAGTATTGGAACTCTTCAACTCCAGTGAAAAAGACAAAGTTCAAACTAAGATGTCCTTAAGTGGGACTCTTAATATTTCTGCTGAATGAAGCAAAACTTAATCCAAAATATATTTTACAGAGAATGATACATCAAAAACAGCCCCTATAATATAAATCCTTTTAGCCTTGGTTTTTGATACCACACGTTTACAGACCTGTTTTAAGCCAGAAATTTATTATTATATAAATCTATATACAATGACACAACCTTAGTACATTGTACTTGACAACATAGAGAAGAAATGGATCAGAACTTCCTTTCTACAATAGAATATCTCAAGTACTACATGTGTACTATCCAATATTTTTTTTGGGAGGGGGATGAATTTCTTCACACATTCGTGCTCAGCCTACATGTGCATGTGTAACTTCTCACATGATCTACATGTACTTTCTATATCATCCTTCTCACATCAAGATAATTATTATTTTATCATTTACATGCAACTTGTGTGCATCTTTCACCCTAAATTTTGTCTTTTACTTTCTTACAAGCTCTTCATAAGATTTTTTTTAAAGGTGGGGACAGTGACAAATGATGACTGCCCCTAGATTTTGCTGATAAAAACTATTCGAAATCTGTAATGGAGCTAGGTGAACAAAAAGGTAGAGTTTACAATTACAGTAAAACTTGTCTAATTAGGACACTCTGGTTCTATAGAAATTGGCCAGATTAGACAACATTTTAAACAATTGAATTTACTGACAGGAACTTAAAAGTTTACACTGTACATGTACTAGGCAAGATTTCAGAATACACAACATCTGGATTAGACAAGTTTCACTGTACATGCTGTAAGCTTAAAGCAAGTGACCATTAATTTTACAGATTTCCATTTCAACCATTACAAACCCTTTGTAAGCTCTTACATTTTAAAATTTGTACCTATAATATTGCTTCAATACATGCTAGACAGGTAGACTCTGACTGTAGATGTTAATAAGTGAATATATATTCTTAATCACACATACAGTTATACCTCGTTATCTCAAACTCGATGGGACTGAGAAAAAACTTCAAGATATCTTAAGATTCAAGATATTGAGGTTAGAATACTTAAAGAATAAGTTGTTGGGACTTCCAGATCATTTCAACATATATCCATTATATTCAAGGTATAGGTGTTCAAAATACCTATAAGTTCAACTGTATTAAATTGTTTATTTCAGTCATCCTTTCCTAAGTATCTGGCATATAAGTGTAAACATATATACATGTACAACTACTCAGAGAGCAATACATGTAAATAACCTAACTATTATTTATTGACTTGCTTAAATAAGATACAAACAAAACATGTACGAAAACGTTATCAGCTACAGCCAAAACATGCAGCTATGTACCTATCTGATGAACTACAAGTATCTCCAAAAACTCTGCTGATATAAATCAGTTATTTGTTATTAGTAAAAACTGTCAATGTACATTGTGGTCATGATGGTAGGCAATGATCTTATGGTCACTATTCTAAGCTGAACTTCTGTGATGATCATTACTCCAAAGTCACACTCCCCAACTGTAATAATACTCATTAGGTACACACACTACAGTGACTAATAGATACATGGGTTTACTATTGTGCAGGTGAGTTTGATCAATGGATATCATAATTTTTATCTATCTCTGCAATAATTGGTAACTAGGTTAATCATACCAAAGCAACAATTTTCAGTTCTTTTGAATTAATTCTTGTCCTTCAATTTCTTTCTCAGCATAATATGTGAATTGCTCATTCTATTGTAAAACTGAAATAATTTTACTCTATCCTGTTTACGTCATAACATACTTCATATAATAGGTACTCACAATAGAATAAATTATCCATTGCAGAATTGATATTTTAACATTAATTACAAACATTCTGTTTATAAGGATTGTCTTTCTATGTAATTTCCTGATCATTTTATATAACTGTGGTTACTTAAATAGTGATAATGGAACACTAAACAGCTAAAATAATGACCAAAGTTGACGAAAACAAGCTGTAGATTTGTTTACACTGGATACAAAGAATGCACTTTCTTATAATCAAATGCAAAGGTGTACACTTTTAGGTGTACACTACCTTCATCCTAAACAGAGCATGTGTCTGTAAATGCACCAAAAATTCAAGAACATCTGAAAAAATGTGGAGATGGTAAAACTGAAGGATATTTTTTCTGCATTTGAGATTACCTCAAGTTTTTGATAGGTTGATTGCAGGGTATGGAGTATAGTAATTTACTCTTGTTCAGTGCATTTAATGGGATATATGAAAATGCATGTTATTTCTAAAATATTCAAAAACAAGTTGTTGGTAATTAAGTTTTGGAGATAAAAGTCAATACATGTATATTATGGAGTAAGACCAGATATTTAGATAGTCATTTATAGGTGGATATAAAATTAATGTTTTATTTGAAATTCTTTAATTTCTTTTTCTCTAAATATATTACTTTTTATAAATGGATCTACAGGGTTGTCCCTAAGAATTGAAATAGGAGGGAAATTTAGAAAGTAGAAGGGGGTTTGGGGGTCTTCCCCTAACAGAGGTTGAGGGGGAAAACCAGATTAACAGGGGGATTATATCATTATAGGTTGGGAAATTTCCCTGCCCCTGGGTCTTAGGGACAATTCTGTATCTAAGAAATTGTCCACAACAGCAACAAAAACAAAAAATCTCTTAAAGAAAGGATCCCCTCAACTGCTGTTGAAATTTTGACACCCATATTGAATATACTAAACTAAACCAAATTTCACTTGATTGTATTTAGGTGTAAACTATCTACATAGTGTGTACTAGCTAGCTATGGTGTAAACAAATCAAGCGCACCCAGAGTTCTGAAAAAATTCTTTAATTACACATACATGCAACTAATCAAACCTGTCACTTAAATGATATAGTTTGTAAGCTTTCAACAAATGAAAAGCACACAATATTTTTATTTTACTGTAATTAATATATCCAGTGAAATGGGGTGTTCAGGATTTGGGTTTTCTTTCTTTCTTTTTTTATTGTTGCTCAAAAATTTTTCAGTCATATATGTATTTTTTGAACAGTTATAGACCCCCTATTTTTCCTTTATTTTCTGGATCCACCCATTTTTTTTATGTGGATATAAAGTGAAGTTAACTCATTCCAGGTATGGAAACACCCTACAGTCTCCACAGCTTTGAAAATGTTGAAGAAACTTTACCCAAAGAGTGGAGCATGAAAACACTTGATGAAATTGAAAATTGTAAGTTAAGATCATTACTTTGCACCCTATACAAATACTTAGATATGCATATCAACCCACATAGACCATGTAGACGAAATAAATATCACAATACTGTCTCGTATCCCAAAGCTGACTGGTGATAAACCGATAGTGATACCAACAGCTAATCATAACAAAAATGTTATGGCCATTCTTTCTGTCAAGCTATAAACTATAATAAATATGTTAACATATACATCTTGAACATTTGGACACCTGTTTGACTGATTCACATGTGTCTCAGAACATGCTTGCTGTGATTAAGGGGGTGTCAGATATATCATATCAGTGTTTAAATCTAGGGGCGGTTATCTCACAAAAACTCAAAGAAGTATTCACAGTAAAAATTCATCCTACAAGATTGAAAAACCATAAAATCGAAGAGAAATAGTGTCAAAAGATATGCTGGTGAACCTATATCTGACGATATCTGTCGGTTTACACTTACCATATCCGCCATACTACTTCGTGTTGAAATTGAAAATCAGCGCCATCTGTAAACAAAGAACATTCGATAGGGGCGGTCACCAGTGATTTCGCAAGCAAAAAAGGTGTTTATTTTCTTGATTTATTTAACTTTTCATGTAATTTATTGGGTAAGCATGAGTTACTGGGCTTCATCTATCTAGTCATCAAACATAATGCTATATATAATTATTTTTATATTACTTTTCAGTTTTTTTTTTCTTTTTAAGGACATACGCAACGTACCTTACCTACTGATAATTTTTCAAGATATTCTTAATTCAAGATTATAATGCCATCAGATGTTCATAGACAAAAAATCAGCATGCATTACCAGGGGTTTTGAAAAGATATCATTTGATGAAAATTCTTGTATAATTTAAAGAAAAATATACAAAAATTACTAAACATATATTCTAGATGTTTTGTTTATCAAAACTTGTTTAAGAAGAAGTGTACAACAGCATATAAAGACATTAAAATGTAGCAGACAGTTCCTTTTAGTATTGGAACTCTTCAACTCCAGAGAAAAATACAATAAAGTTCAAACTACGTTGCGTATGTCCTTAATATATAAGGACCCATGCAGGCATAAAATGATTAATGAAAGTGAATCACTTTTAGAATCAGGCCATTCAAAATAAGAATCAATAAAATAATTTGTGTTGAGAAAGAGCATGTGCGGATCTAGGATCTTCAGGAAACACGTCAGCTTCGAACATAAAGTCATCAAGAGCAAATGTCTATAATATAGATACCCCTTCCATTCCACACCTTACCTCCTAAATAGGTTTTTGCGTTTGGTCAAGTTTTCTTCTTTTTTATGTCAAAAAACTTCTGATCCCCCCTTTTTTTAAGGGTTAATTTTCTAGTTATGGGTCCCTCTAAGAAAATTTTCTGGATCGATCCATGGAGAAAGGGGGGGGGGAGAGAGAGAGAGAGAGAGATTTATATTTCTATAATGAAAAATGGATAACTGCTGCAGTCAAACAAAGATTAAAAGATCAATACATTCAAACGTGGATTAGTGAAGTTCACAAATCTTCAAAAAGTTTACATTATAGAATTTTTAAAACCAATTTTGAGTACGAAAAATATTTAACGCTGTCATCATGTAAAATTAGAAAAAAAAATTGTTAAATTTAGAACCACAAACCATCGCCTTCCAATTGAACAGGTAGATGGAATGGGTATTCAAAGAAATGAAAGATTCTGTAGCTCCAAACTCCGTGAAATAAAAATATCTTCTTACAGGCACTCAGCAAATTTCTACCACAGATTTTGTTGTCTCTGACTTTCGGGGGGGGGGGGGGGTAAAATACAACGAAAAATGTTCATTTTATGACCAAACTCAAAGGACAAAAATTTACAAAATAAGTCAGATATATTTTAACTAATTGAGTCATAGTCAAACTCAAGTGAGATGTATATATTTAATTTTACATACGTCAAACATATTGAAAGATTTTGATCTTAAATCAATATTCATATTCGTGAGTATTTTAAAATCCGGCGATGTTTTAATGAATTCAATGAATAAAATTTTACATTTGCTTTTAAAAACGTTGTTATTAAGAGCATATAATTAATTGTGACTGGTAGAAGATCGAGTTATTAATCATTGATAACTAATTAATGAAGTATACTCTGCATACAAAAAAATAAAATAAATTAAAAAAAAATAAATAAAAAAATAAAAACATAGCAAATTTGCCAAACATAGGTAAAATGTAGGCGGGAATCGAGATTTAGCGCTCGCAGTTCTAACTGAAGAGTGTAGCATATAAAGTGAGCGGGGCGGGGGGGGGGGGGGGTCAGTCCAACCCCGTGCAACCACGTGCCTGAGTATCGGCTCTTTGATCCATGAATCATAAAGCATATCAATCAAGTAGAGTATGCCAATAAATACATCATTGTAATAAATTTCTCTTTAATGGGGAAGGGAAGACCGGGATGTCCCTCACTCTTTTTGCTCGATATTATTATGAGTTCAGTTATTGGAAGTTTATACCAGAAAAAAAATACTTGACGGCTTTTGTTATTAATTGAAGAATTTTACTGCATGATTTAGGAATACGATGTTGTTTTACTTGTACGAACATAGACCTAAAGTAGAATTTTAGGTCTATGGTACGAGCCACCTCTTTTATCAAAGAACTGATGATTTTTGCAGTCAGAACTTTCAGAATATCAAAGGCGGATCCGGGCGCCCCCCCCCCCCCGTTTGAATTTTTTAAAAACATTTTGTTTGTATTATCCTAAAATCAAGGGGGAAAAACACCTCTTATTTGTCAGAATTCGTCAGTTTTGGGGGGCTTTACCATGCATGGACCCGCTGGGGGCTTCAATGCAGCCCCTAGATCCCCTGCCTTCTACTGCGCCCCTAGTCCGAAATATCTGACGTTTTCCAGGCTTTTTTTACGATTTTGATATTTTACGTGCCAGGAAAATATCAAAATCGTGAAAAAAGCCTGGAAAACGTCAGATATTTCGGACTACTGCGCCCCCCACCCCCCGTTATGAAATTCCTGGATCCGCCGCTAATTATCGTTGCAAACTAAATTTTATACCTTTTGTCTTTCACCACTGTTTACTTATAACGCATTTTTCTCAACTGTTTTTCGCTCAATAATCGTAGTACTTTCATTGTGTTTTATCACTTTCCATCCGTATCATTAAATCACATACAATATTTGATCGGGCACGTTATTCTTCATAATGAAAGACAACAGACAAAATATTCATTTCATGATGGATCATCATCATTGACACTAAAATTCTTTTTTGCATATTAACATGACAAGGACAGCCCAATACATTGTTTACACGGTCATGAAAACAGTTTGGTTTTACTGGTAAGTGAACGTAATTATATCTGGAAAGAAATCAGGTTGTCGGTGTAAGAAAATGAATGTGCGCAATATTTTTTAAATCAAGCGCAATCTATTTAAATTGCAACTGACAGACTGATGCAGCCAACCATTCAGTATTAATGAACATGATTTCCATGTGTATATTTCATAAGGTAACAACGCTGTAGACAGGTATGGTACTGTTCAATCTTTAAATTAAGCCGTTTTAGTACCTGTGTTTTCTTTCATAACATGTTGCTTGATTTAGCATCTTTAACATTGATTACAACAACTTGGGCATTTTATTTTTCACTTTTTTAGTGATGGGATTAGTAAAAAATTTTCTTTTTTCTTTTTTGACTAGCTGTAGCTAATTTACCAAAAGAATGCTGCGAGCTTGAAAGCTTCAGTGACAGTATTTTATAAAGTTCTATAAAATCACTATAAACAAGAGAACAAGTAACCATGCAGTTCAGGTCTGTTTTCTGAATTGATATTATTGATTTTTTCCCACCATTTTAGTTTACCTGTTTAAGAAGGAATTTCTTCCATGTAAAGAAGGAAAGTGAGAATTTCCCTGTGTGGAATTTTGACTTTGATACAGAAGAAAGAAAGGATTATAGGTAGAATATTATGGAAAAAATGTTACACAGTCTAGCTGGAATAGATTTATGTGGATGTACCTGATCACTTACAGCTAATTAAGTTGTTTGTTAATATAATCCAGATCATAATTCTTATCCGTAGTAGCTATGATTTATATTGTACATTTTTCATTTAAAAGAAAAACTAACAAAAAAAAAAGAAAAAAAGAAAAGAAAAATGAAAATAAACAGAAATAAAAAGAGAAATTAATCATTAAGGAGAAATAAGTAAAAAGGAAGTAAGACAGTGATTTATTTATATTTAAGGAAGAAAAACATATTTTATAATAATCATTTCAGCTAATAAATTTAAACTAATTCAAAGTCCTTACTAAAGAAATTTTGAGCACTGCTCAGTGTGCTGGTCTGTAGGACCTGCCAGTCAAAGAAAACTACAGACATCCTGGAAAATTAATAGGCCCCTCCACATTTACATTTATGGATATTTTAAAAAGTGTTCCTTATCATAAAAAATGATTTAACTGAAATTCAATTGTCAGTTGCAACTTCTCAGGCCACTATCTATCTAATGAGATTGTGAACAAGTGTATCACCAAGTGCAGTTAGAGTACTATGAAGTCAATTTTTGTTTCATTGTTTTCTTGATATGAAGAAACCCTCAAATTCACATCCTCCACAAAATGTTTAAATTTCAAATTAAATATTGTATATTGTTTATTCTTCATTCATGAAAAAAATCCCCCTAACCTAATTTTTTTCGTCCAACCATGAAAATAACTTTAATAAGGGATTTTAATTTTTACAGCATTTAGCTTTTGAAGAGTGCTGTTATGAATATTTAAATGGCTCTGAATGAATAATCTGCACTTGAAAAGAGAAATCTGTGGACTGTGGGATTTAGCTAATTTTTAATTTTACTTGCCCCAGCAGATTTAATTGGCCCTTGGCCCTGGAACTGTGGGTTTGGTAAAAGATTGTGTTTAGAAATCTATAAATATATACTAGTCTTGTACATATGTACAGTACCAACCAGACCCAACCTGACACAAAGCAGTCCCAGAGCAGTCCCGGGGACTGCTTTCTGGGACTGCTCTGGGACTGCTAAAGCAGTCCCAGAGCAGTCCCACAGCGGTCCCAGCGGTCCCAGAAAGCAGTCCCAGCAGTCCCAGAAAGCAGTCCCAGCAGTCCCAGTGGGCGGGGTTAATTAATTTAATGGGCGGAGCTTACTCAGAATGAGATTACCAATAAACAATGTAACTATAAAAGGCAGTTGAAATTGATGATCCATTTCTTTCTGAGCAGTATCAATTTTCATGCGACAGTCATTTTTTAACTGTTAAGAAAATCACACTACGCATATAGAAACAAATAATAAATATTGAACAAAGAAGACGTTCACACCTATAAATAACATGAATATTTAAACACAGTTTTGTGGTATATTAATTTTTCACCAAATACATCAATTTCTAAATTACTGTGAATGATATTGGTTTCCATATTTATTTATTTTTTTTATTTATTTATTTATTTATTTTTTTGTAGATAATTAAGCTTGAGCTATTTATTTTCTATCAAAACTAGCTTTAAATAGGCCTTATAATTATAGAGCAAGGCCGATTTCCATACTATACTCTGAATGCAGTTTTCTTAAGTACTGGAGCTTTTGAAAAATTCTTTGTGTATTATATTTCAGTCATGATTATTTTCACTGACTTGCCAATTTAATTATTGTTAAATTATCTATGTAACAGAAAACAATAATACTTTTATTATATAAACGTTTGAGTGTACATCTGTAAATCACGCGAATGGAAACCTCAGATTATGTTCAAAATTAATTAATCCCGAAATAAATTTATACACATTTATTGAAACGAAGATTTTTTGCAGTACATGGATTGAAATTAGTGTCATTGTTGACCAGCATGTTCAGTGATGTGTAACACTGATACCCAAATAACATGCATTGACTTTCTGCTAATCATGCCCAAAGGCGATTGAAACTTCAGGTGTTGACACCATTTTATACATTTGTATTGCTTTTTATTAATCGGCCAGGAAAACACAAACAAAACAAATAAGAAATAAGTCACAATTCCGAATATTTTAAAATGTTTATAAATTTACTCTTTTAATTACTTGTTTATAAATCAAAAACAAAATAATAAATAAATCCCCCAATAATTGTTCACAAATATAATGTTTTAAATGACTGAAGAATGGTAGAATAATTTTATTTCATGGTCATTTAATAAATTATTAGGTTTTATTTGAGGGCGGTAAAAAATAGCATGGAATGCTCTTTTTTAACATGCATATGGTTTTAGCTTTTTCAATTTAAAAAAAAAATCCAGTACAGTACGTCCCTCTGAATGTCTTATTGTAATGACAAGTATGTTTGTTTTTTTGTTTGTTTTTAAATAGTGCTAATGCAAACTTTGAGTACATTCCGTAACTTGACAGCATTAATTAATTAAATAGGCCTCGATATTTTTTTTTTCAAACACCTGTATTAAAGTTTTAATTAGCATTAATTAATTAAATAGGCCTAGATATATTTTTTTCAAACACCTGTATTAAAGTTTAATTTAAAGGATAAAAGTCATCTCCTGACTTCCCTTTTAACTACTTTCATTTTTAAAATTAATTCTAGACTACAATTGTGTAAATTTACAGCCCCTGAAGACATTTAGTAATTACATGTATATCTATCTCTACTTATTAAAATGTAAAAAAATCCTTGTTTTTTTTTTTATTCTTTATCTTAAACACCTCTCTGCTGAAAGTAAACAAAACAACAACAGGGAGCCTGCATATTCAGAATACACAAGGGGCGGAGCTATCATGTCACTCAGAACCTTTTTCATGCACGAGTGAACAAAGCAGTCCCAGAAAGCAGTCCCAGGGACTGCTGGGTCTGCTTACTAGAGCAGTCCCACAGCGGTCCCAGAGCAGTCCCACAGCAGTCCCAGAGCGGTCCCAAAGCAGTCCCGGGGACTACTTTCTGGGACTGCTTAGGTGTCAGGTTGGGTCTGGTTGGTACTGTACATGTATTTCATATCAATTTCATGATTGTGTGACCTTGAAAAATGAAAATCCAATTCAAAAAAGTTTCATTAACTAAATATTTTTGTAATTGAATACTGTATATTATAGGTAAAATCTTAAGTTGAGTGCAATGTCAAGAGTTTTCAATGTGATATTCAGATACATGTATATCTTAAAAAAATACCGGGTACTTGAATTTTAGATATATTTTTTTAACATGTATACTGTAAGCTCCCCACGGATGGCCTTTCATAAATGGGGATTACAAAATATAACATTATACTGTACACACACAAGTACGGTGGTACTTCAGTCTTGGTTAACTTCAGTATTGTAAACAGAACGAGAGTTTCTCAAAGGTAACAATAATAATTTATTTATAAGAACATTTCAGCAATAACAACATCAGGTATAAAACAAGAGTTTGGTCGGTGGCGTCTACCGTACAGGGCTATGGTAAAAGGGGGCGGGGCACCAAGGTGACCGTCAACTCAAATATTAAATAGTAATTAATAATAATGTTTTCAAATAATTGATAGGTGTCCAGTGTGTTGGGAGATAATTGTCTTAATTAATTCTCACCTAAAACTGGTTGATGGAAAGCTGGAATTTGAATTTAGCGCTAAGGGAACTTAGACAAGATTATCTGCCATTATTGGCTGATCGACTCATATATATAGACTTTCTGAGATACCACGTGATAGGGCTTAACCAATGAAATAACTGTACGGTGACACTCGACCAATCGTGGCAATGTACGGCACCGCACAACATGAGATTTGCCGTACAGTGCCAAACAAGTTTGCCGTACAAAAAGAATAAATAATTAAAAACAAGCTGTGATTTAACAAATACACATGGATTAAATTAATATGACTATGCTGGATGTTGTCCTAATCTGTAAGTAAATATTCAGTTCCTAGAAATATGTATAATTGTCATATAAACATTGAATCGTATAGCAGACGATGTCAACTAAGTACTTTCAAATACGAGTACAATGAAAAGCTATTAAATGTACAAATGACTGCCTGATTATAATAAACAGTTTGTAACAATTATTCTAGCAATAATTTGAGTTATTTCAAATAATAAGCAATCAATAAAATCACAGAGATACAAAATGCGAAACTCTGGCTAGTATGTACGTCACATCAACAAAGATGGCAGCGGGTTGCATACAAGAGTATCCAGAACAAATAAATCGCGCTATTACAGTTCTTTAAGATTATAACATCTCACCCCCAGTTCATGAATAATGACAAGAAAACATGTAGTTTTAAAAGGTATGTTACCGAATTCATGAGATACAGAATTAAATTAGAAAATAGATTATTCACATATCAGCATGTGCTATAAATAGAATAAATACATAACATGTTTTTAAAAACAGAAACTGTCTTACAAACAATTGAAATAATGTTTCTGCAAAGATGCAATCATAAAATACACAATAGAATACAGTACAATGGCAGAGCTGAATGTTATCAAAATTATGTATATTACATTACGTTAGGTCTTACAATACCATACATAGATGTAGATTGTATTCTTAAAGATGTTAAGCAAAATGAAAATGAATAGCTTAAACCCATTTATAAATTTGTCTAAAAAATACAAAAGTTTGAAATAATTTGAAAGCTACAGATTGTTGTTTTTTAATCACATTTCGATTAATAAAAGGATTAAACTTTGTTTGGTATTATTTACCATCTTGTAGGCATCGAGGCATGGATAACTGTTACCTTCATATTCTAATAAATTAGTGCCAATCAATCTTCTATGATTGGCTTTATTATTTCAATAACTTTTGTTAATATTTGCTTTGAGATACACCATATGCTTGTTCACTATTATTACTGAAAAAGCAGAAAATTAATATTCGCTGGCGATTAAATTTCATTTATTTCATTGTTAACAATTGTCAAACAAAGTTATATCCCACACAAAATTTTTATATGACTATTATACATTGAATAGAGTTACTTTTAAAACAATGAAATTTAATGCCAACAAAACCTTTTTAGATGATAAATCAACGAAATTTTGTCCCAACGAAAATTTCTGCTTCTACAATATACCTTGGGATATCTTACCATTTTGTATCTGTTGTCAATTTTGGTTAAAGCAATTTTGATATAATTTTGGTAAAAGAATTAACTAAAGAAGCTCATTCAAGCTTATTTAAAAAGCAAATTTTAAGCTATAACTTTAATAGCACTTAGAGCTATGAGGCTTAAGTTTGACACTGTCCTAAATCTTTTTCAATAAGCACTATAAATAGGACAAGCAAAGTCATTCATCTCTATTCTACATGGAAGAAAATTTACAAAAAAATTATTGTATGAAGTTAACCCTAGGAGAAGGGAAATAGTTTCCTGCCAAGGGGAACAATAAATTTACTATTTCGGAGTATTTCCCGAGTTCCCATTTCAGAACTGTTTTATTATACCGAAACAATCTAAAAAGATTTATTAAACCAGATACTCAGATATTTTTAGACAATATAGAGGCATTCACATAAACACAAATGTAACTAAAATTTTGCTAGATATCTAATGCATTAACAGGTCTAGGCGGCCTCTGTTTTTGGAGGATAGATTTTATCCTCTGAAAACAGAGGATAGCGGTCTTGCCACCTACCGGAATTTTCAAAACTAAGGGCAGTTAACTCTTAACCAAACAAATAACAGCAACTCTTGCATTTATGAACTGTACACTGATTTCGAAATCAAAACAAATAAAAGGTACAATTTCATATGATGATGGATAAGTCCAGATATTAAATCAATATATTTTTGTAATTGCCATCAATCAGTTATTTGGTATACCGCATGGAAAACAAATGTTGCACTTACCTGCCTCTGATTGAGGTTAATACATGTAATATAACCACGCTGATTTTCCAGTACCGTAATTATGTGATAAGCAGTTTAGAAATTTTTATAAACAGTTTTTTTTTGTTGAAAAAATAAGTTTATTCATTTATTATTTCTTTCGTTAATAATTCTTAAGCGCATCACTTTGTAATATTTTATTTTTTATGCATACACATGGCTATATGAATATGTTATTTTCTTAGTAAACATGTCAAAATTATTTATTTTATTTACTTATGCTATTCAAATTATTTATTTATTTTTATAATTATTCATTCAATCCATTTATACTTTTATTTGCTTAAATTATAAGGCAGAGTATATTTTGCATTTTAAATACGCTTAAAATGCGTTTCCTCTTGTGTTTCCTTTTTTTGAATTAAAAGAAAATATAAAAGAAATATTAAAATCCTTTTTTATTTGTCTGAAAAGGGAAAAATCATAAAAAATAAAACAAAATAACAAGAAATATTCAGTAATAATTGAGTGCAAAAAGTGCTAACTTTGAAAATACATGTAAATTACAAAATATCTAGACATAGAATCTCAAATCGCCACATACAATCGATAGTTTAATGTTTGAACTTTTATTTGCATGCACTCTGGTGCTTGCACTTTTTGATTAAAGGTAGGCATGAGGTGTTTGAAAATTACCTGTGTTATCCTCTGAAATCGGAGGTTAACTATCCCGCAATGCAACATGGTTTCCATATATGGTAAAAATTTTGGATGCCATATTGAATTTAGCTATCCTCCAAAAACGGAGGCCGCCCAGACCTGATTAATATTGAGGAAAATAACATGTTTATGCAGTGATTTTTCTACATTTTTTAAAAGGGGCCTGGGCCTTTACAATTGGGAAAAATCATCGACATTTGTGTAAAATTGGGAAAAATCAATAAGATTGAAATAAACCTTAATTGACAGGTGAAATAAAATATATAAGTAAATGTAACATCATTTATTCACAATATTTACTACAAAATAACAAATTAGACACAGTTCTACATTTTTAACTTTTTTTTAATCTTTGAAAGTTGTCATTAGTTGTGACCGTCCTATATTTCAATTCTTTTTTTTTTTTTTTTGCCATAATGGTAGACATAAAAAAAAATCCTACTCATAATAGCCCTTGAAGATGATATAATCTGACATGATTTAAAACAAATCATTTTTCTTCTAGCTTTCTAAATCACCCTAATCATTGTGCTGCAATATTAGTTGCATCTGCCGGATGTAGAAACAGTTTGATTTTCATGGAATCAGGGATGCTTTTTGTAGAACTACTAGTTCTTGGATTTACAAATAAAGCTTTGTTTCGCCTGTTCACATGCATCTTACACTTTTTCTTACGATGTATTTAGTTTGACGTTTGACATGATCCATGTGTTTTTCTATGTCTTGTAAACGCACAAAATGATCTGCTGTTTTTCACTATTATTTTAAGAGTATGAATGACCGAGAGCAATAGCGTTCCAATTTATATAAGTCCTACATAAAAAATTCAATATAGTAAAATCAATAACGGTTTTTCTGGGGGGGGAAAGCAACTGAAATTGGGAAAATATCGGTAATTTTTGATAGGGGAAAGGGCCGATATTCGGACCTAAATTGGGTGTAGAAAAATCACTGTTATGAAATAAAATAGTTTCAAAAATATTTTAAAGAATTATCTTGCTTATCATTTTGCTACAATTCCAGTATGATTTTGACATTGCATGTCGAAAATAATGTTTTGACATCATAGTTAATTGCTAATAACATTACATCACAGACTCGAGATTCCTTGAACGCTCAGCCCACAGAGCATTTTGATTGGTTAAAAATATTAATGAATATTAATGAGGGAGTAGTCTCAGGGAGTAGCTCTGATTTTACAGGGAGTAGTCCTCAGATGATGGAAGTATTGCATTCTTAGGGAAATAGACAGTTTTATGGTATTTATTTTATATAGAGTAATAACAGTAGAGGTATAATAATAATTGTTATAACTTACAAACACAAAAAACATACTGATTGAAAAATTTTAATACTATGAAAAAAAAAAAATCGGAACAGGCCATTCTGATTCTGATGTTACACAATAAAAGTATTACTTGTATTTCACTTTAAACAGCAAATTTCAAAAATGGATTAAGCAGCTAGAATATCATTTGGTACCTTTTACGGGCAAAACCTAGGAAGCATTTAGCCTTATATATTTTTATAGATTATTCCTTTTGTGTAAATTATAGACACAATGGACATGGAAGAAGATATAGAAGAATATCCTAATATTGAAGTGGACCCACAATATGTCACCGTATCCAGCGTGGCGTCTTATGTCAGTACAGACTCGGCAGATGACCTTGACTGGTTACAAACCTCCAAACTTACAGGGGGAATAATCAAGTTTCTGTTTGATGGATCCACAGAGGAAAAGGTCAGTTTGTCAAAATTACTGTAGATAAACAAGATGTAAATATTAACAAGAGAAGGTTGTTTTAGACACTTAGCTAAGTTTTAAAAATTGTCTTTATGAAATGAAATATTTTAAGCATGTATGCACCATGTTCTACAATGGAAAAATGTAAAACGTATATATATTAATTATATGTTAAACAAATACAACACTACAATCTCATTAACAATTTCATGGGGAATAACATGAAGTTTGTATTTTGATATGTAGTGAAGTGTACCTTACATAAGAACTTTACGAAAATTAACAATGCATCAACCTATCTTCGGAATCAAACTGTATAAAGATTTTTGTAAAGTTCTGGGCTTAAGATGAGTCTTTCAACCTACCTGTATTTAAGGCATCGATGATATCTAAGGCATATTCTGAAAATTAATGTACTAAACAACTTAAATAATCTCCATTTTTTTGCCAGAAAAAAATTATTTACTGGTATTTCAACACTCTGTTGTAAAAACGTTTTAAGTATAAGAGGGATTGATCTAAACAGTACATGTAATTTTGACAAGACTAATATATAGTCCATTAAAGAATTAAAAAAGGTATTGAATCAGAGGATCATGTAATCCATAAAATAGTGTATATTTAATGAAATTATTTAAAACCAAGAACAATAATTTTATCATGTTTTAATATGCAGGTAATTATGTTAATTGTAGAGTCACACAGGGTACTATGTATGTGTGGGAGAGGATGCTTCTGTGGACAATGTGGCTAAATACATCACCAAAGTGTGGAAGAAGAGGAGCCCAGACATCATTCTTTCTGTTATCTCCAGCTTCACTCATTTCAGGAAGTGGAAAAATCAACAGGAAGTGGAAGATTTCCAGAATGGTTTGATACAGGTCAGAATGACAAAGGTTAAAGTTTGTGAATGGAAATGATAAAAAAAAAATGACATGAACTTAATTGAACTCGACTGACTATCTGTAAGCTTTCCAGCAAGCTTGTAGTTGCCAATTCAGGTTTATCACTTATTAAGAATTATGCATAATTCCCTTGTTCATATCAAGAATTTGGGAAATTCTGACTCTACAAAGATTGGTACCATACATGTATATGTAGATTTACATGATCATAATACATTGGTTTTGATTTTTTTGCACTCTAAAAAGGATATACTTAAAAATTTTATTAGTGTTAACAATTGACAATGGTTTGATCATAGATTCTGATCTCTTAGCTGTTTGTATTGCAGGCTATGAACTCTACCAATATGTGGGTCTTGACAAATGGTTTAGATGGAGGAATTGCTAAAATTGTTGGAGATGCTGTTCGTTTTGAGAGAGAGAGGCGGTTTATTCTGATGTCACGAGCTCGGGACCCTTACGTAAAGCTTCACAGGAAAGAGGATGTAGAGGAACTGCCTAAACTGACAGTGATGGGGATCGTTCCCAAACTACAGCTCCAGTGTGTGGCTGGAATGGAGGGAATGGTTAGTAATCATGTTCAAATTTCATTCACCATTTAGATTATTTGGTTTACTGGTCAAAGAGCATTTTATCTGGTGCTAGAGAAATAAGTCTAAATCAATCTTTAAAATTTTATGTAGGAAATCCTAATGCTTATGTCTGATTTGAATGAAACTTCACATAAATACTACAGACTAACATGAAGTTGACTGATTCTGGATATCAGTGTAAGTTTTCTTTAATGTTATGGCTGATGGTATATAGACATGTAGGTGCTAGTAAGAGGACTATAAGTCTCCTTTACATCTTTTTTAGCTCACCTGAGCTGAAAGCTCAAGTGAGCTTTTCTGATCACCCGTTGTCCGTCGTCCGTCCATCTGTCCGTCCGTCCGTCTGTAAACTTTTCACATTTTCAACTTCTTCTCAAGAACCACTGGGCCAATTTTAACCAAACTTGGTACAAAGTATCCTTGGGTGAAGGGGAGTGTAAATTGTTAAAATAAAGGGCCAAGTCCCCTTCAAAGGGGAGATAATCAAGAAAAGACAAAAATAGGGTGGGGTCATTAAAAAATCTTCTTCTCAAGAACCACT